GTGCGATCAGCTGACTGGGATATAAGTAGCGCGTGCCGGGAGTCACGTCGGTAAATTTTAAATGCTTACATCAAAATTCATGCCTCAGATTGTAAAAAAATTTTTTTAACTTTTCGATTCCTCTTCATACAACGGATCGACATTTTTCTATTTGTCTCGTTTGTTTGAAACGCTTTGCATAGGTTTGAGTGCTATTATTTTGAATAAACACTTTACAAATAAAAAACTAATTCGATTCTTTATTCAGACGATCTACACACCGATCTCTTGGTGCACGAATTCTCATTCGTGTTAACCCGTTTATAATCTAAAGTCACTCTCAAGTCACATAAACGTTTGGTAGCTTGGGCGTTGGCCCGTTCATCTAGCGTACAACCCCTCGAACGGGGTTGGCTCATGCCATGTGTGAGTACCCGGCTCAATTTTCATTACCTCATACGGTAATGCCCCACCATTGTAAGGGCTCAATTTCTAGTATATAAGCGCCGCGTTTTTTGACTCGGAGAGCTCAGTTTTTCTAAAACTCTCGACACAACGTTACTTTGACACTCGAGGCAAGATCGGGCTATAATCCCCATCAAGCAACGTGCCTCCCTTAGCGGTTTTATTAGCGAGTGTCTATTAGACTAATCGAGAAGTAAAACCGACATAGAACTTTCGCCGCCAAGGCAACCTAGCAATAGTACTAGTTCTGTTAATTGACCATTGTACTTGAGCATCGACTAGAATACATTCAAGTAGTTATCCTCACTTGCATTATTCACTTGATACAACCCTGAACCCTATTGACAGTAAGACTAGAGGTACACCTTTACCGCTCGAAGTGTACCATTGCGACAGAGCAAGATCCTAAAAACATCCTAAACACCTACGTGGCTCCCAGGGTATAAAGCCCCTGGTTCGTCCACTCCTTCTAGCGGCTCCCAGGGTATAGAGCCCCTGGTTCGTCCGGAACTCCTTTCTCTTTCCTAACCATACCTAAAACCACCGGTCAAGTACTGCCCTCGACCGAATCCAGGATCTCGCGCTCGTAACACTCTTATCTAATATGTATCAATTGGAATTTTAAAGCAATAATACAGCCTGCAAACAATCAATATAAACAAACTACATATTTTATAGTATTTTACATTAGAGTGAAAATAGTTGAAAATTTGTACGTATTAAAATTTACCATTTATTTATACCTTATTATTAGTTTATCAATGGTTATCGAATGTATAATTGTTTTTCAAAGCCAAACGTAATTTACGTTATAGAGAATAAACAGTTTTACTATAAATATATATTCCACTATCGCTCACCTATACTACCTAATCTAAGAAAATACAAATACACCTTGAAAAAAACCAACTTTTTGATAATATCTCGCTGCGTCTAATTTCATTTACCCTTCATTTTTCTTCTTTTTGTTGTATGAATTTTTCTAGTACGATTAGTTTAACATTTATTATATTGCGTATATATTTTTTATTTTATTAGGTTAAAGATGACTTAAACCAGAGTCAAAGAATCAGAACAAAGAATTTCATTTACTCTCGACCACAATCTTTCATACAGAATTAGAAAATTTTATTTTCAATCTTTACGTTTACCTTTCCTTTTCACTATTACGAGAAACTAAAGATAACAATACTTGATATGGCTTTCTCATAAACTTTAATATCTAAGTGCAGTTTCTTTCACTAACAAGTTGTTAACCTCCGATCCGAGTCGACGTTTGGAAGATGTATACTATAATCTAACCGACCGCGAAACGATTCCAGAAAATTAGCACGTAGAAGACGCGTATCTTGCTATGCAAATATGTCAAATTCACACAGTACCGAAGAAGGTAGAGAAAAAGCCAAAAGAGTAAACACCGAATATTTACAGTGCAATAAAACATACTATCTTACTTGCTTTAATTATAAACACAAATCACGGAGCTAACAAATTACCTCTTTATAAGTCGCGACCCAAGTTACTGTTTTCATGACATCTACTTTTCAAATTTAAATATTACATATCATTTCCATACTAATAATGACTAATCCATTACTTCAAATTAAATAATACGATATTGATTCTTTCAATGTTTCGAATGTTCCATCAATGCTATAAAAGTATAAAAGCATTTTATTTTAGTAATCAACAAAGATGTATATATCCAGTGTATATGATCTTAAAAAATAGTAATTAAAAATGATGGTTTTAATTTTGTATTTAGGTACACTTTATTTCGATTAGAATAAATAATATTGATTGTTGGTTCTCTTTATAATCTTAAAGATGTACGTTATTATCATGTTGACTATTAGTATTGATACTAACGGTACTTTGCCTTTTTTATGATCTCTATAGTGTTGTGACACCGTAATGAATCGTTGTAAAAGTGTTACGGACGCATTGATAAGAACGCGCAATTATAAATTGCCCTGTACCGAGCACGATTAGGTAACCGCGTGCAACGGGATGCACCGTTTACAAAGCCGATTACGACGCGGAATGTTTTTCCCAACGGTTTCGACGACAAAAGCCGACATCCTTCGATTCTCGCGAACATAGTTAACACTTTTCCGACCGACGACTTTGAAACAATAATTTCCTTTTGTTTAATTTAACGGTGTAACAAATACAGATATTTGTAAAAATATGGTAATTACATTTTCGAACTGTTGTCGATTCGGCTATGAGCTGAGGCTGACCTCTCGTTCGAAATAGATAAATAAGACCTATGCTCTTTAAAACGCATACTATAAGGCAATATACACAGTATATTTCCAAGTTAAATAAACGCATCAGATTAATGTAATAAAATAGAATACACTTCCAAGTATTTGAAATGATTAGAATATAATCGAAAATATTCACGTATGTACTTATGTTTCTCGTTATTTAGATTTGGCTCATTATTATAAGCAAGAATCAACCCTCTGATTCCACAATTTTCCCCCTCAATGTTTCCCATATGATCGAGGATGGATACTTGACCTATCTTAACTCCAAGTACAACTTTTTCTAAGGATGTTCACTCTTGGACACTTTTCTGGTTAAATCTGATTTGCAACAACATCGCCTAGTCGATGAATTCTTACTTATTCACCACTCACCCTTTCTAAGGGAACAAGTTACAGGACCTTTCCTCTACGACGCGTTACAGAAGATGTCTGAATTTCGTATTAACTTTCACGAAGAAACGACACGTTTCGCCATGAGTGCCGAATACGTTGAACGTTCCAGTCTGTGTTTTTGTATACGTGTTCAAAGGTACCAAAAATGTCATGGAAAGCGGCTGCAAAAATATCTGAGGAAGTCGGAGGCGTTTACAAACAAGTGGGTCGTACGTTTTAAGGCAACAAAACATTCGAAGGAGTCAAAGGCGTTTATAAACAAGTGGGTCATGCGTTTTAAGGAAACAAATCCAGCTGGCGATTTACCAGAACGTGGTTCGAAACGAAAAACAACAAATAAAGAAAGCAAGTTGATTGTCGAGACATTTGCGTCAAAGGCAGACAAAATTGAACGAACAAAGAAATCGTTTGATTTTCAATAACATAAAATTTCTCTATATAATAAAAAAAACTTTCTTTTTTGAAGTAAAAGAATGATAAAAATTTATAATAAAGCCCTTTTGATATCGAAAAGAGAAGTGTTGCATACAACAGAGAATAGAAAATTACATTAAAGTGAACTGAAATTTCTAAAAAAACGCGTACAGGTAAGTTTGGACAACAATGCCGTTTTGTACAATTATTTTTGCATTATTAAAAAAGTATTAACAAGTTCTTAATAAAGAGTTAAGACAAGTCTTTTAAAATGCTGCGGTCAAGGATCAATTTTTCACTTTCCTTTGTTGTGTTTTTGTACTTTGAAAGTCCAAGAAGGAGTCGCGTTAAAATTGTTAGAAAAATTTGTCGACTTATGTCGGACGCGAGATTTTCACTCTCCAATATGGAAGCAACACGGTCGAACCACGTTATCTTAGTGGGGCGGACACCGTCGCGTGGCAATTGAAGAAAATTGATAATTGCGTTTTAAAGCTGCACCGTGCATAAGTGGGTCACACCGTACGAATCGCGTTTATGATGGTAATCGAAGGATACGTATCTCGAGATCGTAATCTTATTAATACATTATTAGGACCGACCCTGCAGTGCGACGCGAAGGTCGTGAAAAGTGTTGGGACGCCCAAGGAAAAGGTGTTCAGAATAGAAAATGACGTTTCCCGGGATGGGCGCGTCTTCAAGGTGAGAAGTAAACCGAAGACAATGCAACGTATATGATTAGATTAACCACGTGCAATAAACATCAGTTGTCGACCCGTTGTTTATGAGTCAACTATTTGTTATCGTCTCGCGGCTCTGATTTATTTTAGTACTGGCGCGAAATGTGGCACGTTAACAGATTGTCCCGGTTTGCGGGCAGATTTTCGCGTTTCCACGCCAATACGTCGTTGGAAAATAGTTCGACGATAAGGAGAGTAAATTTAATGAACGGAAAGAGGATATTTTTTTCAGCGATTACTCGATTACGGAAAATCAACGAGGAACATTGTGAATTTAAAAAAAAAGTATTCGAAAAGAAAGAACGATGATCGTAAGAATGTTATTTTTTCCAGTAACTTTCATGTACTCTTTCTCCAACCTGCTTCCATCCATTCGGTCAATCTGGCTTTAAATAAGCGGAGCTCCGAGTGCCCGCTGATGCAGACATTTGATCAGCCATCCAAACCGACTAATTTGCTCTACGAAGAGGGCACCGTTGAAAAATACAACGCAACAAGAGGACGATGGAAGAGGAGGAGAAGAAGAGTCAAAGACCAGCACCGTCAGAGCTGGATTCGAATTAACCAGTCGTAAAGTGGGCGGCCGATATATTTAACGGCAGACTGTGCCAGAAGCTTCCTCGTTGAAAATCGACCTCCCGGCGACCTCGCTTTCCAAGATTTTTTAGTTGCTCGAGCGACACACGCCGCGGCGATGTTCGGCCGCGATTGTTTAGGCACGTGGAACCTCGACGATAATAAACCGAATAAATCGGTCGTGCCGGTTGAAAAATGTACCGGCGGGCAGACGCCTAGATACTTAGCGAGAACGACGTGGCAAGAAAAATAACGTCTGCTCGAAGAATCATTAATCATTAACTACGCGTGCGAGGATGCAAAGCGCGTTCCGGGAAAAGCAACGCGGCTCGGGAAATTTTCCTCCGTCGCAGTCAACGTTGCGGGAAAGATAAAATATCCTGCTCCGCCGGGCAGAAAAAGAAAAGAAGGAAGTAGAAGTGAAATCGTCGAACAGCGGCGCGCGCGGTCGTTCGTACGAATAATAAATGTTTTTGTCGTAACGTGTGCGCGTCGAACGGGACAAAGGAGGCAAAGAAAGGTAAGAGAGGCGAAACGTACAATTCGGGGGCTCGTCGTGTCCGCGACGCACCACGGTCAGACTACGAGGAGGAAGAGTCGTAGGAAGGGAAAAGGCGTCGAGATGGAGAGAGCGAGTCAGATAGCTACGGCGGTAGGCGTAGGAGGGTTGAAACTGCATGACGCTTGGGGAGCGCAGTGATACCATGACGTATCGACCGAACGCGCCACGCGGACTGACGTCATGATCACGGCCTCAGTCAGACCGCGAGCACGTGAACAGCACGCCGGTGATCATGCGGTCGTTGGCTGATAACGCCGCTCCGATTGGCCAGCCACGGCGAGCCCCTCGACGCGATTGGCTGGAGCAGTACGCGCCGCATGATCACGCACACCACGGCCACGGCGTGTCCAACCAGCCGACCTGAGAAAGCTTCATTGCGTTACCAGACGTTCAACGGTTACGTCCATTGCGGCTTTTTTCGCACGGTATACCGTATACGCGAGACCGAGTTTTCCCGTCGCTGGTCGAGCCTCTTTAACGTACTACAGTTTCACGCCACGTTTTTTTTCCAAAAGATGGATACGAATCAAACACTGCTCTCACCACCGGCCTCACCCCAATTCAGACACGTAAGTGTACGCTGAATTAAAAGTACCGCCGCCGTAGAGCGACTATCCGCCCGCGAAATACGAACGCAGCTGGGAACAATGACCCAACCCTGTTCCGCATAACGAGCCGATTATTACTATTATTTTCTCTTCTTTTCGTATTGTCTTACAGTTCTTTGGTTCTGTGGACATTTTTGTCAATTTTAATCAAGTTTGTGCCCTTGTTCGTACATACGTAGGGTTACTTAAAAACTAGTGTATTTTAACGTTAATGTATTTTCCTTTTCGCAGATTGAGCCGCTTCAATCGTCGTTCAGCGTCGCGGCACTTTTGGGGGACAAGCTGCTGCAGAAAACGAAGAGTACCGAGATAAACGCGAAAAAAGACGACGATGGAAATGCATGGCCTGGTTTACCCCCGACACCTCAGCCTTCCGATTCGGAGGAGGACGAGCCTCTTCGAAAACGGCGATGCTTAGAGCAATGTGAATTGGCGAAGGTAAATACCGTCTTATCGACAGACTGCTTTCTGCGCATCTTAAATACAGAAGTCTATTTCTTTTTGATTTTTTTCTACGCGCGCGATCGACTGGCCACTCCAATGTGCATGCGCGCATGCGTTGTACAGTTGTTTTGCAAGATGACCCCGTTTACGGCGTGCATTCACTCTTACACCATTTTTGTCGCTTATCCTTCGAGCGAATGTTTCATACCTTCTGACGGTACCAGTCACAAAATCCATAACTGGCACATTATCATAAATAGATGGCATTAAAATCAGCTATAAAATCTACAAAATTTTTAAACGATACGTCATTAAAAAATTTCCTTTTCTTTTCTTTTCTTTTCTTCCGAAAATACGTGCACCAACCTGTTTAAAATGCTTTAACCTTTTCCGTACGAGTGTCCAATTAATTAGTCGTTCACCAATTGATACCCCGATCACTGTAAACGCTGCACGTTTTGTACTAAAAATGTAAAGTGTACGTTAAAAATAATTACCGGCGAAATGCAATTTAAAAATTGTAATTTTCTTATGTTAGCTATTGCTGGACGGTACACCACCTCCGAGTCCAGAACCTGCTCGTGTGTCGGTGATAATGCATGCCAATCGTGACGGTACCTGTAGTCCAGTCATATTAACGCCAAAGACTACAACCACAACCTCACAACCGATTCCACGTGTGGCACTGGTCTCCGGGCCGCAGTCGGAACCAAACTCACGGCGGAGCACCACGGAACCGGAGAATGTTCTCAAGAGCCTGAAATTCAAAATGAGCCTGCGGAAGGAGGAGATTATCGTGAACAATAAAAACACGGACCGTGAGATTACACAGCCAAAATTACATCTTTTGGCACCAAAACCAGCACCGATTATGGTTACCGGACTTCTTGGATCACCTTTGGTTTTACCGCGAGCACCTCTCCTATTGGTAACCGCGCCTACGGCTACCACCACGACAAGTTTATCTACTCAAGAGTCGGTTGCTCGACGTCGTGTTTACGAATGCGAGCATCCAGGTTGTGGGAAAAATTACTTTAAATCGTCCCACTTGAAAGCACACACGCGAACCCACACGGGTGAACGGCCGTTTTCGTGCCCGTACGAAGACTGCAGTAGACGGTTTTCAAGAAGCGACGAACTGTCACGGCACAAGCGCACGCATACCGGCGAGAAAAAGTTCGCCTGCACGGTCTGTCAAAGAAGATTCATGAGAAGCGACCATTTGGCGAAACACGTGAAACGGCACGTCAGAGACAGATCTTCGTCCGTCGGTGTGACCGGTATTCAAGCTTCCGTTACGCAGATGACAGCAGCGCCTTTAAAGGTTAGCTTACTTCCTGTTATAGCGCCACGAATAACACAATCAACTCATCAAATCATACCACCGCAATTGGCGGCTTAAACAGCGCTAGGAGAGTGACGTGGTGTCATTTGATATGCTTGTACCATACCTTAAAGGCTGCGAACCGAGCTTTAATTATCGCAGGATTGAGAACCATTCCAACGTCGTGAACAAAATCGAAAAAATTTATTATCTTCCGATGGATAATCGAAAACCGAATCTACACGTGACGATAGATGTCCTCCGAATTTGTGAAAAATGAAAATGATCGTCGGAGGGTTTTCGTACGTTCTCGATGGAACTGACGTGAAGAATATGACTGCGTCGAGATTGGAGGAATTACAAGCAAGAGTGAGTCCCCGCTTGCCTCTTTAACGAGTATCACATCGTGATTGTGTAAAACGAATTAACACGAGGCGTACTTACTAGGAAGGGACCTAAAGGCACGAGGAGCGGTGATAAGTCATGAAAACGAGGCTTCTTTGCCGTCCGTGAACCAAGTACCTAAGTGTGTCTGTGATCTGTGATGCATAAGCGCGTTGACCGAGAAAAGAGTATTTATTTAAAAATTCAAAGACAGTTTTTATGAATTAAACACATAACGGCTATGCAAAAAAGGAACGCTATAGTTATGCAGTTTTCATTATCGTCGACTAGTTATATATGTTAATTATAGATCATATATGTATATCTCGTCCGGTTCAGACATCCTGCCGGGCAACCTAAGACTTCTTACTGTAAAGATAAGTTTTAATGATTTTTCTACAAGATCAGAGATTAATTAAACGACTTATATACTTTCGTAAAATTATTGTGTATACGTACAATTACTGTCGAGCCTTGTTCTATCCTCTCCTCTGTCCTTACGCGTCCAACTATTTAACCTTCTAATGATTTACAATGGTAAGACGTAACAAACTTTCCGTTTATGACCAGCAGCATTTATTACGAGTTGCATCGGTGCGTATTATAGTTACAACGATCAGTGCTTAAACAGAACAACGTACTAATTTAGATTTTTTAATTGAACCTATTCAAAGTTTAGAATAAAAACTAGCCTTTAAAACGAGTTACTACAACGCGATAAATATTTTTATGAACTTTGAGAAGTATAAAAACTAGCGCTAAGAACATTTCACTCCTCTCCGCTTGAATTGCATAACCACATCGCGTAAAAAACGTATAACAAACATCGTTAGATCTTCATTTTTCAAACAAATAACAGTTTAAGATGAATACGGAAGGTCATGAAAAGAGATGACCAATGGCGGGGAAAAACGCGTTTTTATGTGTATTTACGAAGAACTCGTCAGACGCATCGATTGGTTAGACGATAGTGAACCGTCTGCATGTGTGACGTAATGTCTGCTGTGATTTAGATAAATACGGTAAGGCACTGAAACACTTGCTATGCATAAACATTTTTCACTATTGAATTCATGGTACTCAAGAAACCTTGCAGTATTGTCGAAAATGATGTATTAATAATAAATATTCTACTATCAAACGATTCAAACGAAAGTAAATATTTTTAAAAAACTAACGTCACGGGGTATTGTATAGATCGATGTATCGTAAATTAACACATTTGGACTCAAACATTATTTACACGTGGAAGTGAAAACTCCGATGACTCAGATCCATTTGAAAAATATGTGTGCAAGTTGAATTACGTACTAATTAATGAATATTAAATGTCTCTTACTATTATTAATATTTCATTGTGTAATTACGATTATTTGATAATTTTTGACGCAATGCCATTTTTAAATGACGAATAATAATAATATTATTTCTATTTCGATAGTTTATTATAATGGACTATGAACGATATAAAGAAAGAAAAAATTACTAATTATAGTAAAATTTAAAAAAAATGGAAGTATGCTTTGCTTGAATGGTTCATCTTAATTTCCATTTGGGAAAGAGAAAATAATATTTTTTTTGTACTCAGTTTTAATTTAATTATCGCATATTTCGCAATAAATGTTCGTGTTTAAATGTCTTGCAAATGGTCTTATGACATTTATCATATGTCGATGAATACTTATTACCTTTTTGCGAAGGACAGATATAATATCTTTTACGTTTTCCGTTAGCTTCGTTTGATGAGTTGATTGAAAATTCGTATTGAACGAATATTTTCTTTTACTTCGAACTTCAGCTAATAATTTCTTTTTTTTATCATAAAAATAATTAAAACGATTATTCGCAGTATCTTCCATCTAACCATTACCAAAGTTAATTTCCAAATCGCTGTCGTAATCACTATGTACACGCTCGGAGTCAGCATGATTCTCCATGTGAACTGAATGCCTGATATTAAAAACATGTGGTTAAGTTTCCTCATAATTAGGACTATTCATGAATTCGAAACAACTTGAACGATGCCATCCTTCCACTAAGAATCAATTTGCTGACAAATGTTTATTCGTGTACAATTACTGAATCTATTTTTATCTGAAATGGTATTGATATACAAAGAATTTTGTTGTTAAAAACTCCCGGTAGGAGCATGAGAGTATTTAGACAGAATGATACCTAGAACAGAAAACATGAACTTTGATCGTTTGTTTTTAAACAAAGAAACTCTTTCCCCTCGGATCAAATGTGACCCAGTGAGAGTAATTGAAGGTCAAATGCGTAATACAAATCGTGGGGTGAAAGAACGGAAGCATAGGATAAGGTAAATAAATGTTATATCAAAGCAAAAAGTTTCCATCACGCATCATATGAAGAGCTCAATTACATTCAAGTGTTGGATACAATCTCATCCCAGTTGATTAAGCTCCACGGAGACACCTTGCATACAATTTCGAAGACCGCGATTTTCTTACGCCGAAATATCTTTTTTATCTTCGAAAAACTATTGACAGAGATCCATGAAAATTTTATACAAATTTACATATAAAAATAGATCTCCTAATGGCATTTAAATTTTTGTATAGATATTTTTTAAATAATTATACGTAGTTTATAGTTTCCGTCCACGTAATAATTGACAATAGAAAATTACAATTGACATTAGGAAAAGAAACAAACTCACATTTAGACACAATTTTCTCGCTTTCTTACTCTGTAATCATATTATTTTTAAAATATGATTATATAACAATACATTTACTATGTTAAATACGCGTAAAGTTTATTTTGTTATAAGAAAAGATACAGTAGAAAGAAGGGAAAATAAAATATTCCACTGCAAACATTATCGTATTCCTCACACTTATTAAAAAGGATCGTCTTAAAGTCATACATAATTCGCAAGGTCATCGATTAAGATAAGATTTTTTTATTGTTCGTTTGTATTCGTCCAAAAATTGAATTGCCAAAAATACATTTCCTTAGAAATACACGTGGATTTTGATATCTTAAATATTTTGGTATTTAATAATCTGCCGAAATAAAAGTGCAATTTTCCGATACAACATTCAACGAGATAGCATATTCGTAATTATTTTAGGTTACTTTCTCACGCATGTTGCCTATATCTTAATTAAGAATTTTAACAATACTCGGCTGTTCAAACAAGTATATTCAAAGCTAACCAAATAAACAGATCTTTGACTAAGCAAAAAAAAAAGAGCCCGTTTGTGTCTAAATCGATAAATATACAAGTTCAATTTCACGATCAAAAAGTTTCTTTATACTTCTAGCTTTCTACCCATATTCTTGGCAAACCAGTGCAGGACAAAGTTGTACAGGTCAACTTAAAAACATGATTCTCGCCAATGGTCTCTCACGAAACGTCGTGGTTTCTTGCATCAGCCAAGGACTCGGTCTCTTTTAATGTTGTAAATGCCACAAACAGGTGTGGGACCGGTAGATGACGTAAAATATCCTCTTGATTACCCGCATTTGCTTTTATTAAAATTTGTCTCGGCCATTGAAAACGAAGGATGCATTAGAATTATTTCTTTTTAAACCGTTTAGAATAAACATCTCTAACCACGGAAAAGTTTGATTTGCATAATATTACTATTATTGTGGTTATTATTATTATTATAAGTATTTAAATTTGTCGATATTCTGTCTGTATACTGGTATGATTGATTTATTCTTTCAAATATTTTGGTAATTTTTAATTAAAGGACAATATTATTGATTAATAAAGACTACCCTGTATGCTTTTCTGCCTATTAATTTTTATTTGAAAAAAGACTAAATATGTAAAGTGAAAATAGTACTAAGCAATTTTTGTTATCAAAATTACTTGAAATTTAAATGTATTTATAAATATATTTGAATCAAGTGTATCGTGATACTTTTCAATGCCATGTGAAATTAAGATTAACCTTTTTATTGAGCTTCTCTGAATGAACTTTTTTATAAAACTCCTGTTTATTTCGCGGAAGTTATATTTACCATACCCGTTAATGTTATCGAGCAGGGAACACCTCAATTTTTTCCCTCATAAATAAGCATATACCTAAAAGTGCAATACCTCCTAGACATTGCATCAAGTACAAGAATTCCACTCCTATGTCTTTCACAATTCAAAGTGAATAAAAAATTTTAATTAAGCGATAAATTTATTCGTATACATGTACCAATCATTCATTACTGAACACCTTGATAGAGTATAATAGATGTACGCTTACGCATTTGTACTGCCGTTACTTTTATAAAGGACAATGTTTACAAAATTATATTTTACAATTTTATGAATAATAAAATATATACATATATTTCAAAACAATAAACATGTATACATATAGTTTGCAGGTTTATATTAATTTTTAAAAATACATTTTACCACTGAACTATATATATTATGCAAATATTAAAGTTATCTCAAAGTATAAACTGTATAAAAATGCTTTAATAAATAAACATACAACTATCTTGCATTGTCATTCGTTGTAGAAAATCCAAATTGTTAGGACAGTCTTAATATGTATATATATAAGTATATAGAAAAATATAGTATTTTTAAACATTATGATCGCCATTCATGCCATTATTATAAATGCATCAAAATCTCAACCATTTAGTTTTCAAGTTTGGATGCTGTATATACTGGAACTATTTAGTTTTAAGTTTTATTTATTGTTTATGGAACTTTTTGCTTGGATCTGATGCAAAATCATATAACATCTGGCACGGTTTGAAAGCATCGCCATAATTACTTTGATATTCCTCCATTTTATTCACTAATTTACCGGCTCCGTAATGATCTACCCAACGGAAAGGTCCACCAGTAAATGGAGGGAAACCTAGTCCAAAAACAGCTCCAACATCACCTTCCAACTACAAAAATATATTATTTTATATACGAAGAGATACAACGTACATAATGCATAAATAATAATTCGACCTACTGAATTAGCCAATATATTTTCTTCTAAACAAAGCACTGCTTCATTAACGAATCGAGATACCATTCTTAATTGACGATCTTCGTCTAATACACTTCCTTTTGGCTCAAGTTTATATTTCTTCAAAATATCTAACGCTCCAAGATTAACATTTCTGTGTTTCGTATTGGCTTCATATACATATATACCTTTCCCAGATTTTCGGCCTAAAAATTGTAGATACCTCGTTAAATATCTGTACATTACAAGGATAAAATCATCACAAAACCATTAATAAGAAAGAAAATACCAAGGAAACCAGCTTTAACCATATCACCAAGTATATTTACATCTCCACCTCTAAAACGTTCGCCTAAAACCTTTACAAGATGAGCACTTATATGAGCACCAACGTCAATTCCGACTTCATCGGATAAGGTTGCTGCTCCAACAGGAAATCCAAATTTTTTTGTCAAATTATCCAGATCCATTGGATCCACACCTTCCTATTTTTGTGTATAACATTACACTTTATCTTAATATATTAATTAATATGAATAGAAATAAAAGTATTAACCTGCATTAATCTAATAGCTTCAGATAACATAGCAGACAGAATTCTTGTGGTATAGAATCCTGGACCGTCTCCAACGGTAATAACTGTCTTACCCTGTTTTAAACCAACATCAACCGCAGTTTTAATAGTTTCGGTCGATGTTCCTTTGTGCGTTATTATTTCTAATAGTTGCATTTTATCTACCGGAGAGAAATAGTGCATTCCAATCACCTAAATATCAAAGTTTTATTAGACTAAATTTACAAGCACAGCGCTGTCATTAAGGGTCAGCGGGTACCTGAGATTTCAGGTTCGGGACGGGGGTCGGTTCAGGAGCCCGAATGTTTATATTATTCCAATACCTGAATTTTACAACATGTCGCAACAGATCGAACAAACTAGGTTTGTGGAAAATTTGTAAAAACTATAAAGGTACCCGCCCATCCCTACTTGTTACGCTTACTTTGTCTGGACGACTACTTCCAGCAGCTATTTCAGTAATAGGAATTGCTGACGTATTCGTTGCAAGTACGCAATGCCCTGGCGTGCTTGCTTCGATTTCCTTTATAACTTTGTGTTTAATTGCAATATCCTCAAATACAGCTTCAATTACTATATCTGCATTTTTAAAGGAATTATAATTTAAAGTGGCATCAAGCTGGGAAAAGTATTTATCTTTTTGAAGACTAAAAATAAACACAAATTTACATAATAAATATTTGAAATTATAGACTGGATATAGGAATAAATTCAAAGGAAACATCCTATACAAAAATATCTCAATGAAAAACAAGTTCCAAACTTACGTCGAATACTTTTTTCTCTTTACAGCATTATCCATTCCCTTCTGTATTTGATTGATACCTCGATATAAACCTGTTTCATTTGTATCTTTCATAACTACCTCAAAGCCTTTGTCTATGCTAACTTGAACAATACCTGCCCCCATTAGACCAGCACCAACAACAGCAAGTTTCCTAATATACATACAAAGTTATATTTCTGTAAAAAACTAATCATTTTTATAATGATATGCAAAGAAACCTGCTCACTTAATAGCACTTTTAGGTGTACCAAAGCGATTCTTTTTACATGCTGTTTGTCCAAAAAATAAACTTGTAAGACCTCTACATTCTGGTGTAATTGTCAATTCACCAAAAGCTTTAGCCTCTGCTTCATAGCCAACAACTGGACCTTTATCTAAACCAGTGCGTACTACGTCTAAAATCTTGAGTGGAGCAGGATACAAGCCTCCAGTCATTTTCATCACTTGTGCTCTTGCTTTTTTGAATACTTGATCTTTGACAAAGTTAAGTGAAAGAACATAGTTCGTAACCTTGTCAGCCAATGTTTTAGGACCACGATTAATTTTCAGAGTCCCATTTGCAATATCTTTTGCAGCTTTAACAGCAGTTTCTTCTAAATATCTCATAGAGCTATAAATATTGCATATATAGTTTTCATATATATAACTTTCATAAAAGTACACATTAAAGTAATTAAAACATTTCTCACTTTTTTTCTGATGTTTCAACCCCTGGACCAAGACGATTTACTAAAATATCTACTATTCCAAATTTTTTAGCTTTATCTGCTTTCAAATGTTTACCAGTAAGAACCATATCTAATACATTAGGAAGTACTGTTAATCGAGGTAATCTTTGAGTGCCTCCTCCTCCAGGCAACAGACCTAACATTACTTCTGGTAAACCTAAACTAGTTTTTGGATCATTGGTAGCTACTCGATAATGACAAGCCAGTGCAAGCTATATTGTTTAAATAAAACTTTAAATAAGTAAAAGCTAAGGTATATAAAAATATTAAAAACAATGTACAAATTATAATTTTGTAATTTATATACCTCTAAACCTCCTCCTAAACAACTGCCCTGAATTGCAGCTACAATTGGTTTTTGGCTTTGTTCTATTGCATTCAAAATACTGTAACATCCTATAGATGCATTATAACCATCTTCTATACTTTTAAAACCTTGTATCATAGTAATATCTGCACCAGCAATAAAACAACCTGGTTTTCCACTTATAAGAACTACAGAATTCACAGCAGAATCTGTTTGTATATTGTTTAAGGTATTTGAAAGTTCATTCATTATTTCATAATTCATTGTATTTACCTACATTAAGATGTATTAATGGATTTATTTGAAATGTATATTACTTGATTCATTCTACTTTTTTATAATGTTTGTTAATTATAAACAATAATATCATCAATATCTATTAATATGATATAAATATTATACCTTGACTCCTGGAGAATCTATAGTAACCACAGCTACATTGTCTATGACTTTATATTTCAAATGTTTTGAGCTTCCTGCAGTAGCAAGAGTTCTAATTGTCTGATACATTCCTGAAAGCAAAACTTATGCAATGAATTACATAAAGTTAAGGTAAAAGGAAAACATAAGAACTTGCTCATTATCTTTATTGTATATTGTTATGGGACAAAAATATATTAAACATTAAATAACAGTAATTCAGTTCAACATTTGTGATATTAAAGTATAATATTCAATATCTATGTAGATAAATGTTATATAGTCTTTAGGTTTTCCATTCTAAAGTTAAAATATACTCATGCATTAAAAATGTTCTTTTACAATTTTTCAAATTATTAATGATTGTTAAATATTACATAGATATTACGTTTGCAGAATTTATACTTTCATTGTTATAACACATAAAAATCACAAGTTTGTCAATTAACTACTTTAGAGCCAAAGTTCAAGATACAAATATATACATATATAAATGTTTTCTCTGTTCGTACTTACCTGTTTGAACTATAAAATTTTTATTTATGCGCGAAGAACGTGCAATAGCATTTAATAATCTGTATTGAGACATATTTTAAAGTATTACCTGCATACGTACAAATAAACAGTATTAAATGTGAACATGGAATGAATACTATTCTGGAAGTACCTTCTACAGATACGCATGCGTTCAATATGTGAGTTGGTACTAACCTAACTTACAGAATTCGCTATACTTTTCGAAGACTTTGACCTCTAGTTGATGCATTTAATATATGATACATACAATATATATTGAAAGATAATTTGGACATTTTGCACTGTTTATTGCAAATAAACAGGTCATATATATAGATTAAGTCATAAATGATAACAATCTACGAAAGACTTTTTTCTGTAAATATAAAAAGCTCGAGTAATTGTAATAAGCAGTATTTTGAAAAAATATAAATAACTAGTATAATATATGCAGTACTGTCTGTAAAAATAATTAATACTTCACATTTATAAATATTTGTTTAAAAATTGGTGGAACTCTATAACAACATGTAAATGAAAAATGTATACAAAACTTTAATGTATGAAATATATTTATAACATTAATAAAGATTTAAACAACATAAATGTGCGAGTATATGTATTTTAATTTTTGTATATATTTTTTTCATATTACTCCTTTGCCTGCGTAACATTATTTTTGCATTTTCCGTACTTAGTAACTAACGGTAAAGTCCAATTATCTTATCAATCTACAATCATTTTTTTATTGAATTTACTGCAGACGAAACGTAGAATCACAGATAAGATACAAAATAAATATTTCATCTGACGGGCATAGACAAGATAAAGAATAAACCGATAAACGTAAGCATTTTTTTTCGAGTTACAAAGATAGGAAGCTTGCGTGTCCTTTATCATTTTTATGTCACTACCAATATTATCGGTTCAAACCAAAATTGAACAAAAATTCAGTCGAATAGCGAATGGATGATTACAAATAAATCTGACTTAATTAATTTCACGAATAAGGAATAAATCGATCTTATTCCCTGTATTTTATTTGTGATTGGAATTATTCCAATCACAATATACTATACATATTTGTCTCATCGATAGTACAACTGAGATAGGAGTGATTCTACATTAAAAGACGAATTGAAAATAAAGAATAAAATTTTTTCATACGAGGCTTTATCTTCGAGATAATTGATTGAGTACAAGTTGCTCTGATATGTTTGCCCACTATCCACGATTTCTACTTGTACTGAAGTCCAAATTGCACTTTATTGTATGCATACACCAGAGATGCCAGAAAAGCACCGCCGGGTGCACACGCACACATGCCAGATACGCGTACGTGAGCTCGTGGAGTTTCGGAAAGTCGACAAAGGCAAACTGACGCATGCTCTCTTTCTCGATTCTCCGAAGCTGCCAGAAGTAATTTCGGATCGCCTCGTGGGAGTCGAGAGAGAAAGGCTCACATTTGCCTTCTCGCTCTAAACAACTGAAATCCGACCTCCTGTCAACGGCATACGATTTGGATTCTCGAGCCGAGATTCTCGACTGCCCAGGCATTTTTACTTTCCGACCTATGTAGGCGCACATAAGCAAAGTACCCATAATGAAAAAAAAATTTTGTAAAATTTATTTTACGGAAATACACGTTTTAGGACCTCCTGATCATATTTTAATTATTGAAAAAAAAGAAATTTTTTTTTATTCCCATGTATGAGCACACATGTGTATATTATTAATACGATTTTTGAAAATCAAAATACTTTAAGATTGAAAATTAATAAATTAAAATGAGATTCCACTTTTTACCAGTATTGTGCAAGCTGTGGTATTTTTCAATAAGAAGAGTTCTTACTTTATAACATAAACAAAACAGTAGAATTAATAATTGCAGAAATTAATTAATAATGATTTTCCTCGATTGTTTTGAAATAACCGTATCAATTGGTTATGACGAACTAAATAGAACTAACTAGAAACAAAGGAAAAGTGATCCCGTTTGCCAGTTTAATACAAAGTATGGGTTGTATCTTAAATTTTAAAAGCACATAGTCGAATATTTTTAAAGGTACAAAACATAGCGTTTCATTGTAGAACAGTAACATAAGTTAGCAGGTAATGTCATAAAACTGTTTTTCCCAGCTATATCCCTTTTTACCTGAAGTATAAGGTAAAAAGTACGAGCTACAAGGTACGACTATCCGAAAATCGTTCACATTTTATCAATGTAAATGAAGCGGCCTTTCCATCAGAGTTAAATACAAAATTTTGTAATTTCTGTGAAAACAAAATTTTCAGTAAATGTACGTGGTGCTTGAAATTTTTATGTTTTGACTGTTTTTGTGAAAAGTACCATCCAGATTCATGTACTTCGTACATTGAAAATAACATATGTTAAATGTAATCGGTTAAATTTAACTTTAAAAAAAAATATTCGAAGGTCAGACAAAAATATAATGTCATATTTAGTGTACGCTTAAAGTATGATTGAAAAAATAAAAAAAAAAAGTTCGAGCAGGGTTCGAACCAGCAGAGCAGAAGAAGTTCGGAACTTGCAGGCAAAGACCTCATCACTCACGCCACGCTGATTAGTGGTGAACATAGTTCTATTTCTGAAAATAAGTACCTGTAATAACTTTAATAATATCTCAAAGTAAAACCTAACCCAAAATCGGGTACCATTCCAACTTTTCCTTGTTAGAACCGAGTTTTCAATTTGTCTTAGCGAAAATCGCAATCACATTTTGCATATTATTCTAAAACATTTGTGGTATTCGTTTTCAATGCGATTTAAGTAAGCATGTAATGTATAAGATTTCATTTAATGTTTTCTTTTCTAGAGAAGATAGAGAAAAAGTTTATATAATTTTTTTTATATAAAATTTAATTCGTCCTAAGATTTATATGAAACATTTAAAAGATTTTTTATACATTATGCCTATATATCGGAACAACTATGAAGCAAGAGGTATAATCTGTAAGGAGTGTATGTGTGTGGCTAGGAGAACCGTTATCGTTTGCGTCGATAGGAGTGTTTAGTCTAAGTTAGAGTAGGTATCGAGTGAGGTGTTTAGGTTTAAGCTGAAATACGTTTTAGAGACTGCGTCTCGAACGTGCGTTTTGTTTAGATCATTATTATAAGATAGGAATAAGGAAGGGTCGACTTTGACTGCAGGAACGTCACTCTGTATCGAACGTTAGTCGAGAGCAATCACAGTTTTACGTTCATGATCTTTTACGTTTACGTTTTATGTCTTTCTTTATGTTCTTTATGTTAAATAGTTAGTAAATATTAAATAATATAATTACATCGTTACGTTTAGTGTTCACGTATTTGAATCCGTCCACACGCCTTTGAAATGAGAACATAAAACTTAAATGTAAAATTCATTTAAATTCATTCAGCTATTTATATTCAATCGTATTAATAATATACATATGTGTGCTCATACATGGGAATAATAAAAAATTTCTTTTTTTTCAATAATTAAAATATGATCAGGAGGTCTTAAAACGTGTATTTTCGTAAAATAAATTTTACAAAATTTTTTTTTCATTATGGGTACTTTGCTTATGTGCGCCTACATAGGTCGGAAAGTAAAAATGCCTGGGCAGTCGAGAATCTCGGCTCGAGAATCCAAATCGTATGCCGTTGACGGGAGGTCGGATTTCAGTTGTTTAGAGCGAGAAGGCAAATGTGAGCCTTGCTCTCTCGACTCCCACGAGGCGATCCGAAATTACTTCGGGCAGCTTCGGAGAATCGAGAAAGAGGGCATGCGTCAGTTTGCCTTTGTCGACTTTCCGAAACTCCACGAGCTCACGTACGCGTATCTGGCATGTATGCGTGTGCACCCGGCGGTGCTTTTCTGGCATCACTGATCTGATAGAAATAGAATCTGCTCATGTTCGGAGTTCAGATTCAAATGTAAATGCACCTTTATTTGGCACAAATTAGTAAATTACATATGCTTGATCACCTGATCTGCCTCACCTGTAACTGCGGTGTGCAAGGATTCGTCAGTTTCCTAATATCCATGTCATTAAATTTTTATAGTTTATGTTTTTGTCATCGGCGGGCCGCGCATACACGAGAAAAATGGTCCGTCTGAGACACCACTGATTTGTATGCAAACATCTACATAGTTATATATAGAGGAAAAGATCAGTAATAACACATTGAGGCTTAATTTACGCCGTAGTTACATAATATCGATGTAGTAATTTTAATTCGTGTAAACGTACTATGCAATAACTTGATAAGTATGTAATGTCATGCAGTACAGAATACTTTTCCAATATTCCATTATAATGTAGAGTACATGTAACTACTAATATCATGTTTATTTAAAATCACATTGTTTTTTACTTATAAATTATGTTACATCTCATCCCTTAAATTGTTTACAGCTGTCCAAAACATCAAATACTAGAATGTTTTCATGCAAGAAATATTTAACAGGAACTGCTATAGCTTTGTTATGCGTATTTATCTTCTGTGAATATTTGATATATTATCTTGTGCTTATTCAAGTAAGTGACATTAATATTAGTTGTAATTCTTATGTACATAGACAAATTTGTAAAACTTTTTCTTCTAATATATTAGTGTTCATGGCCTACTTTGGACTCTCGAAAAGTCGATAAAACAATTCCACAACCAAAGAAAGAAGAAACTCCGGTGCATGCATTGTTTATAGCAGATACTCATTTGTTAGGTTCTAAACGAGGACATTGGTTTGATAAACTAAAAAGGTCCACCTTATGTATAGTTTTTATTATTTATTCACATGTAGATAGAATTAAATCTTTTTTAATAAAATGAATCTTTTCTTATTCAGGGAATGGCAAATGTACAGGGCATTCCAAACTATGGTTACACTTCATAAACCAGACATAATTTTCATATTAGGTATGCAATAATATGCATTTTAAGTAATATGAAATAATTAATAATAATGAAATGTCATAATTATCACAATAGGTGATTTATTTGATGAGGGACAATGGAGTAGTTCTGCAGAGTTTGATCAGTACATACAAAGATTTCATTCACTATTTTCAGTACCTAAAAATACACATCTTTATGTTGTTGCCGGAAATCATGATATTGGATTTCACTATGGTATTATGAAATCTTGCGTATTCTTATAATTAGTTAATGTTCTTAATAAAAAGGAAATATTTATTTAGCAATTACGCCATATTTGAATCAAAGATTTATGAATGGTTTAAAATCACCAAGTGTGAGAAGAGTTAGTATAAGGGGGAATCACTTTGTTTTAATCAATAGTATGGCCCTAGAAGGAGATGGATGTTTCTTGTGTCGTCCTACGGAAATAGCATTAAATAAAATAGCAGGTACATTTTATTTTTTGTCTAAAAAATAAATGTATATGAACATTAAAGTTTGCGAACAAAATACATTTTCTTTCAGCACATTTAAGATGTGCAAAAGGTATTGGAAGTCATTGTGGTGAAGATAATGCAATCTCAAGATATAGTAGACCAATACTTTTGCAGGTCAGTAAAGAATTTTTTGATACAGTAGAAGTTGTATTATATTTCAATTATGATTATAGCATTACCCAATGTATCGTGAATCAGACGAAATTTGCCATGAAATTGATCAAGCACCAGATGAAATAAAAGATATTAAATTTAGAGAACGATGGGAATGTTTGTCAAAGGAAGCATCTGAACAAGTATATAAAATAATATATGAGAGCTATTATTGAAACATTGACTATAAAATATTTAACTTACAGCTTTTAGATATATTGAATCCAAGACTGATCATTAATGGCCATACTCATCATGGTTGTAGAAGATTACATTTAGGGAATATATTTGAATTTACAATATCATCATTTAGTTGGCGCAATAAAGATAATCCTTCAGTCTTACTTGTAAGTTAAAAATTTAAAATATATAATTTAAATTAATTATTTCATTATCATTATACATATAAAATAATACTGATATTCCAGGGTGTATTTACTCCTAATAATTATTCTGTATCAAAATGTTATCTGCCCGTGGAATCTACAGAGATCCAAATTTATATTATGAGCATAGTGTTCATTTTTATATATTTTATTATAAAATGTAAACTAAAGAAGAGTCGATATTACGTTTTAAATTTTCATTGAAGTTTAACTAGTAGATTATGATAATTAATTATAGAAATAAGCAAATGCGTGGAAATATGAATCTCTTACTCTTTAAAGGTTTGTATATATTTAAAAATAGTAATTACATATTATTTACACTATTTACAGTACAAAATATTTGTTATTTATTATCATATATTAATAGAATCCTTCAATGCAACCAAATTTGAAAAATCTGTTTCAGTATTCTTATATATGCACTTTAATTTTCTTTGTATTTTTATACTAAAATATAATATATAATAAAAGTTGCTCATGTGTGTGTGTGGGTGTGTATCAACAATCTTTTGCAGATATAATTTGCAAAACATTACCATTTTATTACAATAAAACGAAGAATAATTTAAATTAATGTTGTTAGCTATAATACTGACTTTGATTATGATTAATATTATATTTTTATGAACTTTTTATACTGTTTATAACAGTAATATTAGTATAATCAATGCAACCTATACATATATAATTGTGTGTACGCGTGTATATAATTTTTATTGTATATGTATAGTGTTGACTGAATTATGTGTGCCGAACTTTATTTTATGAGGTCGTAAATATTGTATAAGTACGAAATATTTTAAAACGGACTAATAAAAAATTGGAAGCATTGAACATCTATTTCATTTTTGAAATATCATTTTGCCGACCTGATTTTTTTAAAACCCCATTTGAGGCCCAGAAATCCATTAATCGAAACTTTTGATCTATACGATTGTGTTCACAGTCTTTTTTATCTTCAAATTTAACTCATACTTTCTTTCTATCATCAGTTACTTTTATAAATTAAATGTTTTCAAATAGACCCGCCAGGGATCATGCCATAGCGTCAAAGTAGATTTAAAAATAAACATAAAAGTCTATTAATTATAATAGTTGTTATATTCACTGGCTACTTTGTTGGCTATTCGTTGGTTACTGCGCAGGTGATATGATTGGGGTAGGTCAACATGACGCGCGAGTGAGAGAAAGGTGCGACGCATAAAACTGAGAGAGAGATAGTGAAATTGGAAAAATGTCGTCTTCCTTTAGATAACGATATCTCTGAAACGGAAAGTCGGATCGACGTAAAACAAAAATCATTTCAAAGAGGAAGCTTTGCCGCTCCTAATAGTGACACAGTTCCCTTTTTAAAACAGACCTTTTAGAAGGAATTTTTTTGATGTTTAACGGAATGAAAACTGTTTAGCAGTTTAGAGATAGGCATCAATCGATTAATTTTATAGAAGTGCTCAACCGATTAACGGATGCGATTGAAAATTTAGTTGTCAGAAGTAAATCGCAATTAATAATCAGGAACAGCCGGTTCATAGGAACAAAAAATTTCAAACACTCACCGAACGTAGAATGCAGCACTAGTACCTACCTGGATGACCATGTTGTCCATTGAAAATTGTCAACGAAGTCATCCATGAAGTTTTCTGGATCCAAGAATCATGAATCCTTGACAAAATTAGATGCCAAAATTCTGTAAAAGAAAATAGAAAAAATAACATTCTGTTTTTACAATTATAGAGATTTTAGTTTTAATAAAAAGATTTCTAATCATTTTGAACATTTAAAATCGATATAACAAAATTTGGAACTAACAATAACAATTTTTTAACAAAGTACAAATATACTTACAATTTTTCGCACATGGGACATCGCCATATACTCCTGTTCAATGATGCACTGACTCTAATACCGATAACGAATAATTTTTATTTCGAAAAGAACAATTGCAAAAGTTGTTAAAGATTATAGTAGCATATTAAATTAACGCGACCGAAAATTAATCATCGGCGAACAAATGATTCTACTATTGCAATTCATAAAGCAAAGAGAGCCCCGATGCTCTGTACATTTAGGTGTGCGCAATATACACTGACTCGACCATCGCGTGTATCTAACATGTATGCGAAACTCTACTCGAGGCCACTGTGCTTCAAAAAACAATAAACAACACTACGCAACAAGCACTGATTCTACCGACCGCATTGCACGCGGTCAACAAAATTACTGAAAAAGAAAAATCTGATTAGAAATAAGAAATAATTAAGCAAGCATATATACCTGTCTGTTGATCGAAATAATACTAAATCGATAAAAAGACAAAAATATATAAACGTATATAGGTGCATACTCACTTGTTATAATAAATTTTCCAAGTTTTCCCAATGTTCGATTTCAAATTTCCTCGATTCGATATTTCGAAGCATTATGGCGTCGATTGCGAGCCGGTAGCGTTCATTCGAATTGCAGCAACCAAATTCTTTAACATATATAAAACACAAATTTCAATCAGATGCATTAAAATATATGTACCTACATCTTAATTTAGCATCATCTGAACACGATATGTGTCCCATGAAATAATAATTTCGATTAGAGATGTGATAATTAATGTCGATTAGATGTGGAAAAAAAGGCGCCAAGTTGATTCAACTTTTTTCTCGATTCCGACTGAATTTATAATAGACACGTATTAATATTGAACGAAATCACTAACAGAGAGTGACGGAGAGTATTAGTAGCGATTAGAAACATTTAGGTACGAATAATTAAGAAGTACGTACCTCATTAGACGCGAAGACTGTCAATGTATGTACCCCTTCCCACCAGTTTCCAGAGAACGATGAGGAGCAGGTTCGGACACGTTTACCGCGCGAAGTAATGGAGGGGTTGTGGGGTGAGATTGGCTGGCAGTCCAACGTCTCGATTCTCGATGTACATTTCCGAATGAAAGGTTAAATTTTATATATCGAATAACATTATATTATTTAAAAAATAATTATAGAAAGATTCGAGACAAACAATAAATTACGTAATGATTTATTATCGTTATACTCATGTGACGTCACATCCGTAGCATCCGGTCTGGCACTTCTTGAACATTGAATATATCGATATGTTATGCGATATACATATAAGTAACTAGATAGATGTAAATATATTTATTCTAACCATAGAAACGTGTAAATATTAATTTATATCAAAATTTCAATCAGTTTCTCATATAAATGTTCTTTTTGCGTATAGTGTGTTTTCTAAAAATATTTGTATTAATTCTCACTATATCTACACAACAATTTTTCTCGATTTTGTCGATAACATTGGGTTTGACACAGCAATGGTAAAAAGTTCGAAACTGTATCGGCATAGACGCAGAATGGAATAGAGGTCACAAGCAATTTGTTTTTCGTAACACACGGATTAAGTGCACAAACAATGCATAGTGTAGACGAGAAGAGCAATACTTTTTCGTGTCACACGGACAAGTAATTCGAGAGCCTCCTAGCTTCAAGGTGAAGACGAGAAGCCGGTGGCCAAGAATGTAAACACAGTCAGATGAGTCACAGAAGAAAAGAACTGTCGCGTAATCGGATCACTGCCCCGGGTTTAGTAAAGCTGGCAATGGTAAGAATATAATCACTTTAAAAAAATATATTTACATATTATTAAGTACATATTCCGATCGACTCATGAATAGAGACATTATCGAATCTATGGAATGTATCGAAAGTCGGATGAAACGTATTGTGACGTCTCAAAAGTATATCGATAATAAATCATTAAGTAATTAATTGTTTATTTGGTATCGTTTCGTATTTATTTTACAGTCACAGTTTCTACATGTATGATCAATGTTATTCGAGATATAAGATTTAACCTTTCTTTCGGGAATGTACATCGAGAATCGAGACGTTGGACTGCCAGCCAATCTCACCCCGCGCCCCCTCCATTACTTCGCGCGGTAAACGTGTCCGGACCTGCTCCTCATAGTTCTCTGGAAACTGGTGGGATGAGGTACATTGACAGGCTTCGCGTCTAATGTCGTACGTACTTCTTAATTATTCTCACCTAAATGTTTCTAATCGCTACTAGTACTCTCCGTCACTCTCTGTTGGTGATTTCGTTCAATATTAATACGTGTCTATTATAAATTCAGTCGGAATCGAGAAAAAAGTTGAATCAACTTGGCGCTTTTTCTTCCACATCTAATCGACATTAATTATCACATCTCTAATCGAAATTATTATTTCATGGGACACATATCGTGTTCAGATGATGCTAAATTAAGATGTAGGTATGTACATATATTTTGATGCATCTGATTGAAATTTGTGTTTTATATATGTTAAAGAATTTGGTTGCTGCAATTCGAAAGAACGCTACCGGCTCGCAATCGACGCCACATTGCTTCGAAATATCGAATCGAGGAAATTTGAAATCGAACATTGGGAAAACTTGGAAAATTTATTATAACAAGTGAGTATGCACCTATATACGTTTATATATTTTTGTCTTTTTATCGATTTAGTATTATTTCGATAAATAGACAGGTCTATATGCTTGCTTAATTATTTCTTATTTCTAATCAGATTTTTCTTTTTCAGTAATTTTGATGACCGCGTGCAATGCGGTTGGTAGAATCAGTGCTTGTTGCGTAGTGTTGTTTATTGTTTTTCGAAGCACAGTGGCTTCGAGTAGAGTTTCGTATACATTTTAGATACACGCGAAGGTCGAGTCAGTGTATATTGCTCACACGTAAATTTTGTACAGAGCATCGGGGCTCTCTTTGCTTTATGAATCGCGATAGTAGAATCATTTGTTCGCCGATGATTAATTTTCGGTCGCGCTAATTTATCGCCCTACTATAATCTTTAACAACTTTTGCAATTGTTCTTTTCAAAATAAAAATTATTCGTTATCGGTATTAGAGTCAGTGCATCATTGAACAGGAGTGTTTGGCGATATCCCACGTGCGAAAAATTGTAAGTATATTTGTATTTAGTTAAAAAATTGTTATTGTTAGTTCTAAATTTTGTTATATCGATTTTATATGTTCAGAATGATTAGAAATCTTTTTATTAAAACTAAAATCTCTATAATTGTAAAAACAGAATGTTATTTTTTCTATTTTCTTTTACAGAATTTTGGCATCTAATTTTGTCAAGGATTCATGATTCTTGGATCCAGAAAACTTCATGGATGACTTCGTTGACTATTTTCAATGGACAACATGGTCATCCAGGTACTAGTGCTGCATTCTACGATCGGTGAGTGTTTGAAATTTTTTAAGAACAACGATGAAATCATCCATACTATAGATAATCTTATTACCGTTGTGTAAACAATTGCGTTTCATCTGTAATAATATTACCGAATTACTGTACGATCTGAATTTTTCTGGAACAGTGTTCCGTAGTTTCGTCAGTATTGCATTGGCAATTAATCAATTTATCGATTGGAAATCAGCGTTGTATGAAGGTTTACTGCAATCCTGGCAAAACATCAGAATCCTATCAGATAGATAGATTTTCAGAAAGAAGAATTTCAGTAGAGAAAATATGTTGCGCGGAAACTATATTATTTATAGAAATTTTGTTGCGTAAAGTGGCAAGAAAAATGAACGAAGAAAAGCAAATTATTGTTTGATCTTTGATGTTTTACACTAAAAAACGTGGGTCTTGAACGTTGAAATTTGCGAAAATCGTGAAAATTATTGGGACATTTTTAAATAGAGGAAAAAGCAAATTCGTTCGACGGAAAACTGGTGAAATAAATGCGAGAGGGACAGATTGGATTGTTTTTAATGCACCACAATGTATTTCACATTAAACTCTGCATTATAATTTTGAATAGTACATATACATAGTTATACACATATAATTATGTTGGAATTAATTCATTTGATAGAGGTACTTTTGACTCGAGCCTGAAGTGGCCATAGTCCCCCAAATGTGTCGTACGTGAAAATAATACGCGGAAGAGTAAGATTTTCCATATTTTCCCATCAAGATTAGAAATCCACTAGGTGTATGATATGTATTAGTTTCAGTTCGTAATTTTCTCTTCGTTCGCTTAATCCCACAAATAACGATAACAGAACGATTAAATAAGTCGTGTGAACCGTACAATACAAAATGATTACAAAGGGGGAGGGGGGGCCTGAATTACGACTTACATTCGTATAATTGTTACCAAATTGCTTATTACAATTGTAATTAATTGAACGTTGGGACTGTGAATCGTGTAACCTGAACGAAGGCTCAAATCAATCGAACAAAGTACTTGATTGGCTAATCTTTGCTGACTAGAGGTACGCACGACGCATCAGAGGGTAATTACATTATATGTTATAGATATACGCCTCCGGAAAATATATGAATACTATGTAAATATATAACGTTTAAGTATACATATCGGTCGAAGATAAAAATATAATTTCAATAAGATATATCTCGTATAATAGCATTCACAAACTCTCTTAATGGATTAGGCATTCACATGATATGTTTAGAGTTTCCTTATACTATAAAGGTCAACGTTGGAAGTATAATATTCCCGTGTAACTAGAAATACGTTCCATTTTTGTTTTTATTTGTAGTTTGGACTCTCGATTGCCTAGCATCAGTGGCTTAGAAACGAGGGGTAGTCCGGATTTCGCAACAGGTACTTGACGCATCAGAAAATGTCTCGCGACAGTGTCTAAACTAAACACTGCGGTTTCGGTATTATTACAATTGTAACATTTGCTTCGTTCACGTTCTTTAATGCCACGACTACGATCGTGAATGCAGCTGGTTCCTTCGTCGCGTATGTATATAATATATTCTTTTTTTTAAAACCACAATTATAATTAACATCTGCGAATCCCAACGATATTGATTTCTTCTTTAGTAGAGATATAGATATATTTAAAGTAACGATTCTCACATATATGTATATATATATGCGTGTGCGTGTACTCCTTTAATTATGTTATATGTAACGCTACGACTTTAATAACATTTAACGAAGCAACCTCCGAGGTTTCAATATTCAATAGAGCGATTCCCGCGATTTAATCCTTAATAGAGCGATTTCCACGATAAATGTTTAATCGAGCAGTTTCCACACTTAAATAATTCATCGTACTAAATGTTCTACGTATACCTCTAAGAATTTTGGAATATACGCTACGCGAAGCAATGCTGACTTGATATGTACGTTATCGGATTTTGCTCCTGAACACGCATCGATTAAAATACAGTTGTGCTCGGATTCCGCTACACGACTTAACAATGTAATAACGCGTTAAGTAATTACGTTTTTGCAAACACCGACGAAGTGTTCCTTCTTTTCAAAGTTTCGGTATCGTGTGTTCTACGGAAACGTCTACGGCGCGATTTCCGATCAGATTTTAGAACTTTAATATCGTAATCGTCGTGTCGCATTACCGTGTTCGACTCTTCCCCGCGAAAAGTATTTCCATTACCACTGACATACGAAGTATTGGTCTGATTTCTTCTCGAGAATCAGGAGAAATGAAAATATATATGTATATATATAGTTTTCCTCTGTGTGTGCGTTTAAGTAATTCGAGGAGACACCTTACGAATAAATTCAGGAAACTCGATTCGAGGATCTCTCGAGATCGTCGGTCCAACGATCATAACTAAATAAATTCTATCGCAAGAAAAGAGCATTTCTATCTTTCAGTCATTGTTTCGAACGCAAAGAGATTTCCTTTAACAAAAATTTTTATTCAATCGTTATCGTTTATAATTATTTTCTTCGACGTTTCTATCGCTATAATCATTCATTCCTTTTCTATTCGATTCCAATGCAAATTCTAGTCCTTTCGTACGATACAAAAAAAGGGTGTTAAGAGAATTGATAAAGGAACGAAACTTTTAAACACCCTGGATGTTGTTTCGACGACAATTGGAACAACTTTTGAAAACGCGCCTCCATGAATCTTCTCGTTGATATGTATTTTGTCTTACGATTCTATGAGACGGGCTGTTCTGATATGTATCGCGTTTCTCAGTCATAATGTTGAGAAAGAAACGATTGGAGGGCGCGTTCTCGTTCTTTCCGGTCCGGTCGTCGCGAGGGCGGATCGAGAACATCGAACGAATCGAGAGAATTTCGAATTGACAGACTTATATCCTAGGCTTTTCTGCATAGTTATATAAGGTAGATTTGATTCAAGTAGACACTCCTTGCATTCTCATCGGTTAATTAAGGAACGATAGATCATTTAGGCGAAGGGGACCCGTTTAAAGATTCGGTTCCCTTGTCCGGTGATCCGCTTCTCACCGGAAGTGTACTGTACCACGGACTTGATCTGATCCGTTGCTACCGGTCCAATGCACACCAGTGGATCCTTGAAGTACGAGCAAACCTGTTTAAACATAATAAATTTTTAGAAAAAGTTATCAAGTTAAAAACTTTAAAATCAATACCTTTACATTTAAATATTACTTCTTACAGTTTGACGCGTTAACTGCCATACCCACAATTTCTCATAGAATTTATTAGAATTTATTTTCTATTTATATAAGGTTTATCTTCTTTAATCTAATCTTGAAAATAAATTTGTTTAGCTCAGTCAACGCGTTAACGTGTTAAACGAGAAAAGTTAGACACGTTTCAGGTGACACTCGACGATGAAAATAGAGAAGAACGAAAGAGATGGTAAAAAAAGTGAAATAACATAGGGAGCAAAGGAAAGTTAGCAGAATAAAATCAATTGTCTGGACAAGGACATCCCCACCATTGTCGATCGCGCATGCACGATTCCTTTTTGACGTCATGACAATTTACAAAGAAAGTACGCTTGCAGATTTACGTAATAACGCGCGTGGTGGGGATAGCCAATCGTAAAGCAAAGGTGGAAACATTTTATACAGCATCTGTATTTTGTACCGAAAAATCTTGAATTAGCAAGTACGGTGGACATTTTTTAATGGAGCTTTAATAATTTTTTGATGTTATATTTTTCATTATTCAATTAACTTCACCCTTACGATATTATTCTCGAACAGTAATTGGATAGAATAGCACCGATAAGCATTGAAATTTCAGCGAAATAACGAATAGAAATAAACAAAAATCTATATTATCCTAACCTTGAACTTGAATTATCGCGGTTAAAAAAAGAACGAATATCCTTTATTCTTGGCTGTTGTAAAAACTCGGAAAGTTCAAATAAAATCGAAGGGAGTGCGAGCAAAGATAGATAAATTCCTCGCCGGCGGGTTATGAACGGTCAGTTGATTTTGTTTCCGGCTATAATAAGGTACACGTAAAAGAACAGATATTAAAGAACACACTGTAAATACCTTTCTGGGCGTTTGCCGGTGACGTCTTTGTAGCTGACAGCACAAACCACGGCTGATGTCACATTCTGCAGACATGTGGCATTCCTCGTCTGGAATCATTCGTTATTGTTGGTTCCACGTTTAGAAGTTAAATATAAACGTGTCACACGAGACCTTATAATTATCTCTTTGACGTGAAACCGTTTGTGCAGTGACCTTTGCCGGGCTACGTGTCTCTAAACGCTTTACTCGAAACAAAGTTACACGTCGTCTTTCGCGTAACGGATCAAGGGTAGCTTACTGTATAGTTTGTTGGAAGTCACCGGTGGTTGGCACGATCGAGTTTCGCTGCCGGGTATCTCTGCACACATTAAGCCAGTTTCGCAGTCGTTGTCCCTTCTGCACAGTTCACCCTGTTTCTGACCAAGTTGGAACACGCAATGACCCTCCTCTGAAATTTATCCGCTGTACTATTGTCTCAGGTTCGATCGTAAGGGTGAAAAATAACACGACTAACCTGCGTCGACGTTGATGCAAATAGAACCCGGGCAACAGTGCTCGTTGTTCGTGCACCGCCTTTCCTCGCAGGGCACAAAGGGGTCCTCTTCCAAGGAATCACCGTAAGCGTTTCCGTAGCCAGCAGATAACGGCCGCTGTAATCGAAACGCGAAAAGTTAGTTTATTACGAAAGAGATATTTTAACAATTCGAAAAGATTCCAATCTCAAAAGAAATAAGTTTTTTTCTAGAATATAATTGATTATATTTGTTGTGTAATTCGTTCGGTCGAATAACAAAATGCATTTTTGTATTTAAATTCGGTTACGATAAAAAGTTTTATTCGAGACTAAATATTTAATATTTAGTTCGTCGTGGCGTAACCCTTTAAAGGAGCAAAGATGCTTGGGGGTTATTTTGAGCCGCCTACGCGTGCTAGGAAATTACTCGATTAAATTTTTCCAAGTTCTATCTGATTTGAAATCTAACAACGTTATTCTTGCGAGAATAGTTCGTGACAGTAAAACGCTTTCGTCTAAGTGCTTTTGCTGTTACGTGAAAACAATATGTCGATCGATTGTCGACCGTACTGCGGCAAAGTTGCAACAGTTATCGTGCGCGCAAAGACGCCTGGAACACCACGGGAAATCGCGTTGTTTTAGAAAAGATCCCCTTACCTGGTACAGTCCTGTCCTGCTCATGTAATCGCCGTGGCCACCGTAACCGAAATTCGACAGCATTTCGGGACTGAAACGATTAAAGAGACCGCCCCATGCTTCGACTCCGAGGTGCATCGAGCTCGCCAGGGCGACGACGGCCAGTGCAACGCACGTGTGCATTTTCGCTTTTCTAGCAGGTGTTTAACGTGAACTCCTGAAAATCAAAAGTAAAGAGCTTTTAAATCAAGCATCAGTTTCACGGTAAATATACTGTTTATACGTTCGAAATCTTTACTCTGCCCGGACGAGTTTTGTTCCGATTGAAAACCCTTAAAGGGAAGTGATTACTTAGATACTTAAAGAAATTTTTGTTAAAAATAAGTCTCGATTTCCCTTACTGTTTGAATTTTTTTTAAAGGTAAAGTAAAATTGAAAAGCACGTTCCGATAGTTCCTAAGAACGCGATATTAAGGGAAAAATATTGAAACGTGCCGGACAGGACGAATAGTGTGATCGTTGTCGAAAATATTTTATGATTTCATTATTTTTTCGAATTTTTAAATATTTTGTTTAAAATTTAATAAGATCCCGAGATGGGAATATTACACGTGAAGTTTTAATTAAATTCATTTAATCGTTTAGATTGAATCGTGTCTCAATATCGAGTGTATATATAAAACTGTTGCGTTTATTGCGTTTTGGTACAACCGAACGATGCTTTTTGCCTAATTAGAGTGACGTACAGTAAAGATTTGTGTGTGACGTTGCGGAAGTAATAGACTTGCGCAACTCTGTTTGGTATAGACTGACACGCCAATTAATACGTTGAGTCTTGTCTAATTGATTTGTCACATAATAATGCGTGTTGCGTTGATGAAGTAACACTTCTGCGCAATCTTAAAGGCATCGTTCTAAAAACTTTATGACGAAATTCGAAAAACTAGCAACATTGTAAGACTTTGAAATAGATCTTTCACATACCCTATGTATGCTAAACTCTCTCGAAACAATAATTTAAGATTTAGAACGTTGCACTGTGATTAATTTTATATATTAGAAACTTTTATTGCTATTGCATAACAAAGGCTTAAGTTTCTATCAAAGCACGAATCTTTTTTTCCGGAAGAGTGGCAATTCCACAATTTTGATCATTTTTAAAAAATCTTAGTTCGCATAATAGTCACAATTACACGGGACAAGAATCGTAATACTAATATCAAACAGAAAGAAAGATCATTTTTCGATGCAACTGTAAGTAGTATTGGGTCGGGAAACGTAAGCAGTCAGCCCTCGTTATGTCTGCTACTACTTAAACGACACTGTTCACATTCTACTTACTAATGGTAACTAGCCAACTGATTTTTATTTTCTATTAGAATACTCGACGAATGCATAAACATATAGAATTTAAAATCATCGAGTACAATACTATTTTCTTAAATTACTACGCGAAAGAGTCTCGATTTGCATCTTCCATACCAGGTTTTAAATCATCGAAACCAATGTTAATGACTTACGGTATTTGCGAAAGCGGCAACGGTAACAATTGTTTAATAACACCGGAGATGCATTAAGTAAATTGACAATTTTCATAGCGCCAAGAGTTTGCGTATTCTTGTAAAATGTCTGTTCACGATTACGTGCTAAATTAGCCGTTCGAAATAGAATAAACGAGAAAGCAACGTTGCAAATAATTGGAGAATAAATTCGTTGAACTTACTAGATTTTTAGTGTTTGCTCAGATTTAAGTTGGCCGGCGGTAGGACGACAAGGGAGGATTTCTGGCTGTTCTCGAGATCAACAAGTCCTCGACGAAGTTTGCTGGAGGACTGAGTCTGAGTTGCGCTTGCATTGCCAATCTATACTCCTACGTTGTTCCTGTCTTCGTTGTGCAGACTCGTACACTACTTTCGCGCAAGCGCGGTCCTTGACTTTTTTTTTCACATACACAACCCTATAGTCTGTTCCACGAGAGGTTGAGGAGGGTTTAAATAAAACCACGTGACTATACCAGGAACGTATTGACAGAGTATTGCTCGGCAAACACGTTATTATTTACCTAAATTGATAGCAACGATTCAGTTTTTTTTTCAAGAATTTTAGCTTCTGCAAACATTTTTTAACGAAAGGTTTCTCCATACATTATTATTCAATCGTTTCTTGCATCTTTTCGCGTATTCCCATTGGACGTCGAGTCGATGATACACTCCTGGCCAGAGCTCCGTGTCGTCACAGTGGACCAATCAGATTTTGGTCACGGGTCGTGTTACGTTTACGCCCGACTTAATCGTCTCATGGAACGAACTATAGGTGACATTTCTCCATTCAGATTTTCGGTTCCGCCTTTGATGTCACACGTGGTAACCTTTTATCTATCGAAAGAGGAAGATATATCTAGCGGGAGACACTTTCATTTTTCTCCGATCGCCTCGAACCTTCGCGTTACTATCGTCGCCATATTATCTCGAATAGGAGTACCATCTACGAGCTGAATAATAATTACTTGTTGAATTAATGAGGATTCCGTTTGTTTGCTTTGTTTAAATTTTCCTGGCGGTTCTGTTTGCTTCGTAAATGCGATTCGAATCAATTTTCCGATGACCTACAGGGCAGTTTTGGCCGTTTTCAAATTTAGCGAAAATTCTAGAAAGATTGACAACGTCGCGTAAAGCCAGCTCCGAAGAACTTGATTGCCAGGTGATAAATTTTGTAGGAAAATCTTTTGCATTCTTTTTTACAAGGAAACTTGTAATTTTATCTCGAAAGTTGTACCGTTTGTAGTTGTTTAGCAAAATATGAAAGTCACCGAGAAAATTGCATCCTAACCCAGGACGTAGCAGCGCCGTTCAACGGGCGCACATTCGTGTAGGTGTTTAGCTCTGTCTTCGTCGTTGCAGTTGAATGGCCATTGTTTCGGTCTCTCTTGGTCGTATTGATCCAAGGTGTCCTGATGTTCTACCGGGCGGTCGATCCTGCTCCATATATTTTCCCTCTACGTAGCCCACGAATAATAGACATGGCAAGCGTACGCGCGAAGGTGGACAGGACGGTTTTCATTAACACAGTGATTGAGACAATTGAATTTCATTTTTTTCTCTTTGTTCAATTCACAATGTAGCCCAGAAGTCGAGTACCGGTATATTTCGAAGCGTAAAACGTTCTATTTTTACACATATTACAGTAATGATTCTTAAAACGAACATCGCTCCGGTGTTGGCATGTTCATTTTTCGTACAGCGGAGTCGAATTTCGACACGAAGCCTTCTTTTAAGTTGTGAGGAATAGAAATGTTCAATTTACGAATCACGTATGGGGTTCATTTTAAGAATCATTACTATATTTTCCTGTTCTTACTGATAAAAATACCGAAATATATACTCGAGAAACAACATGATCATTTGCAGATATTATAAGAAGTGCATACAGGGTGCTCGGTCACACAGTATATTTTCGGTGAGGAATTTTTTTTTCGAAAGTGCGTTGGAATTCGGGGGTATGTCTATTCACCAAAAATGATTGTAGTTGACCCACGCAATCAAAAATAATTTTTCCAGAACGATTTGAAATTTTTTAATTTCGCCCAAAAATTTCATGTACTCGAATTTTTTTCTCGAAAGTGCGTAGGATTTTGGAGGTATGTATATTCACCAAAAATTATTGTAATTGACCCCTGCGACTGAAAATAATTTTTTTAGAACGATTTGAAATTTTTTAATTTCGCCCAAAAATTTCACGTACTCGAATTTTTTCACTCGAATGTGTGTAGGATTTCGGGGGTATGTCTATTGACCAAAAATGATTGCAATTGACCCCTGCAACTTAAAATAATTTTTTCAGAATGATTTAAAATTTTGTAATTTTATTTTTTAATAACTTTTTAACGAAGCCTCAATGAAGAAATTGATATTCTTGATTTTCGTCTTATTTTAGCCTCTAGAATCAGGTAGGAACGTTATCGTCGGTGTCGATGATGGATGTATTATAGTATTTAGTTTAGGCCGTAAGGCGTTCAGGTGTCCTCGAAAATAACCCTAATGAACTAATTTTTATCGATATCATAACGAACAATAATAAATATTTAAACCGTTTAAGTAATAATTGACGAGCAACGAATATGACGATTGATAATACTTTCAAGTTTTAGAACTAAAAAAAGGTGTCAGAGTCGCGGGTAACGGTTAGCTTCACATAAATCTTGTTTACTTTCGCGAAATGCTGACGCTGAAGTACGGTTCACTCGCTTCCGACAGACACGCGTTCCGAGTGATTTCTCGAGAATCCAGCTACCCTGACGAGGGTCGTAAGTGCACAAACACCTGGAAATGCCAGAGCGTGCCCTTTACTTTGCACGCGTAACATCTATTTATTACGCGCGGTCGCGTGATTTATTTAGTCTCGTTTTCTCAATGGGAAGAACCGAAGTGGAAATCAAGATTTAAACGCAACGCGGGGCTGTGCGAGAACGACGGAATAAAATCGTGTACCCGTAACGTGCTCGCGACTAATGAAGTCGACGTTGTCTGGTGCTTATTTTCTGCGTGTACGCCGTACATCAGCAACCTGTTCGAGTTTTCCAGATTATGGTGACCCTTTTTCCCTGCTCGCATAAATAAAAAAATGTATATACTGTACCGGATAGCTGCATTACTTAGGATTAACTGTCGCGTGCTAACAGACGTAACAGGTTCAAGATTTCTAAGAAACTACGTTCACGTTGGCTGAACTTTGTAACATTAACACGCACAGGTAGCTAGTTGTTCCACAGGTGAGTGGATTGGTCGTTCAAAGATTTGTATCGTCCACTTGAAAGTTCGTATTCATTTCCCGCGCAAAATATGGAAAGTTTTTATTTGTTTCCGTTTTCATATCGTTCGGGGAACAAAGAAACACCGTTATCTTGTATAAAAATGAGTTTAATAAATAACATCTAACAACGAAATAAATAAGCAACTCGTTATTGTATACATATAGTACGCCTGAAGCGCACTCACGTATATGTACACGGAACACACAGCACGTTCAATGCTTGGATATACATGTAAATACGCATTAGTTTCTCGTATATCGATTAGAATTTTTCGAAAGTACTCGCCGCAGAGTACCAAATCACGATACTATTTCGAAGTTTAAATAATTTACAATCGTATTCTTTAGTGTATCAGAAACGGGACAAGTTGTACATAAATCATGTCGAATAACGAATATAAGTTAAATAGCTCGATTCGTTATTTATTCAGTAAAAATCAAATAATCCGATGTGAGTCATTTGTATTCGTCACATATCATTCGAATAAAGTTTTGCCAATCTCTGTAGTCTTCTTTACGGAAATTGATTCGTTTCAAGGTTTGCTTGAATGGCGGATGAAAATTATTCAAAGTTCTAAATAGCATTCGAGATGCGTTCGTATTGTTTTTTAGTCTCTTAATCGATATTCCTCAATCTACACCGAAGGAAATAAATTAGTCTTCCTTTGTACATTTATACAAGTGGCACGGAATCGTCGATGCCTCGTCGTGTTTTTCCAAGGAACGTTCAATTCCCTGTTCCCCTGAGTCCGGTGACACCCTGCAGCCAGGGTTTGAAGAAAGTTGTTCTCATGTAGACACCGGGTAGGTAGGGTGCGGCACACTTTATTCCGTGAGATACAGTGCCCACCAAAAACCATCTTCCATCTGGTCGTTGCATTACCAGTGGTCCACCACTGTCACCCTGGTAACAAATTGTCCGAAACTTAACGCAGTGCACGGAAGGAAAGAGAAAAACAGAAATAGAGCAGAACCTTCATTATTTGACACTTTAACGATGAATGCTTGTAAATCATGAATCCAAATTAAGGAATAACATGATTCTACATAAGTATGCAACTCTCTATTGAGAGATTACACTTCTTATTTGCGAAAGAAATCAATTGCAAAATGAAGAGAAATAGGGAAATATTTTAATGGTTGTTGGGTAATTAAATCGTAGAAAAAATTATACCTCGCAGGAATCCCTTTCCCCAGTGGCGTATCCAGCGCACAAGAAACTGTCGAGAATCAGTTTGGAATGCCCACCCGACTGGAACATCTCTTGACAAACAGAATTCTTTATTATGGGCACTTGGACTTCTTGTAGCATGGATGGTACTCCGCCGTCTGCAAATTGCCGCCATGTCAGAACACTTAAGGTCGTTTGCGAACATATGCTCGACGTACTGTTAGAGAGAATAAAATGTGGTACTTACTGTACTTCAGCCGTCCCCAACCTGTAACCGTGGCCATTCTGCCGGTATAATCTATGCCATCTTCGGGCATACAAATCGGCACGATGTGCTCGTCGAATTGCACCGGTGACTCTAACTCCAGAAGGGCCAGATCGTTTTCGAACGTCGCGGGATCGTAACCTCTGTTGACGATCACGCGTCGTACGTTCCTCGTGACGCTGCGTTTCTTTTCCAATTCCCCGGATAGATCGAATTCTCCAAAAACGGCCACGAGGGTTGCCAAGAATCTGTACAAATTTCGTTAGGACGGCTAATTTAAATCACTGGTTCTCAAACTTTTCGCAAGATGTTACATTGAAAAAAAAAAAAGAATTTCTGCACCCTAGACTTATAGATACGTTTTGTCAAGTCTACTTTGTTCTCTATACATTGCTCAATGTTAAACAATTAAAAAATGTCAATGTACTAAAAAACAGTGTTAGTATTAACAGTAAGAAATGTTATTCTTCCTTGTCGACTTGTTTTTTCACGAAGAATACATCTTTCAAAAAGTTTAGAAACCACTTCCTTCGAACCGTTAAAAAATGAAATATCGGTATTGCAAAAAGAAGCGTCCCCTACCCTGGTTGACAGTGAGCCGCAGTGACGACGTATTTGTCCGTGATGAGAACCCCGCCGCACTTATTTTTCGTGAACAGGCCGAGCCACGTGGCTTCGCGAATCAAAACTTGCCACGGCCATTTGCCGAACAACGCCGCTTTGCCGCCGACTATTTTCCCTTCTCTGATCAGAGGCCTCACGCCACACTCTGCAAAACGAAATAGCGTTTCACGTGGGGAACAGTATTTCCGGTAACCGGGGTAAAATCACGGACACTTACGCGAACGCAAATCGGTCGGTGGCGGTGGCGAGCTCGTGGTAGTTTCAACCGAGGTCGAAAGACTGGTTACTTCTTCTTCGGCAACAATTGCTTCCGTGCTCGTAGCCGGCGTTGTGGTTGGCCTTCTGGTCGGCCTGGGCCGTTTCGTCGTCGCCTGGGGTTTCTTCGTGGTGATGCTGGACGTAGCGGTCGGTTTCGGTTTCAAAGTGGTCGGTTTCGCAGGACGACCTGGTTTCTCCGTCGCCGATGGTTTCGACGGCGTCGGACGATTCGTTGGCCTCTTCGTGGTCACCGGCCTCCGCGTTGTACTCTGCGACGGTTTCGACGTCGTTGCAGGTCTTCGTATGGGTTTCTTCGTGGTGCTGACTGGTCTTTTCGTCACCGTGGACGGCGTAGCCGACGTTGCGTTTACGCGACTGTAAACGATGTCTTTGAGATCCTAGAAAAGTAAACGAAGTGACAATGTTTTTACATAGTATGCATCTGTATGTCTCAAGGAATTAAGAAACAATAGATTTTCTAACTTTAACCGTTTTAGAGATACAGTAATGATTCTTATATATCGGCGAATTCCAACACAAACCACTTTACTGGCTCGAAGGGGGATTCCCCAAGTGGGAAGAGATAGAAATGTTCAATTTACGAGTCACGTATGGGGTTCATTTTAAGAATCATTATACCTTTTCCTAGTTGCGTGGGAAGTAAACGGAGGTCCTTAATTTAAAAGAGTTATGTTACGTTTCAAGTTGCCCAGTTTCTAACTTCCTGTTACGACGTAAAAGGAGCTGATAAGGATACCTGGAAGTTCCCTTGCAGGGATTGGACGATCTTGTTCACGAAGGTGTCGACTTTGTTCGTCAAGACGTCGTCCTCGATAAAGGTGGGCGTCGGAATATCGTTCTCGCCCATGATCTCGATCTCCGGATAGCCAGTGTTGTTAAAGGTCTCGACGATGGTCGGTTTCTCCTGTTGCGAGATCGGCGTGGAGATGTTCAAATTTGGATTTCGAACCGGCGGGAAATTGATCAGGTCGTCGGGAGCGGGCGTGTCGTCCTCGCAGTGAGGAGCAGGCGTTGTCTGTTTGAAACCCGAGGTCGGCGAAAAGCTGGGATCTTTATTGGCGACTATAGTGTTGACGGGTGTCAGATTCTCGTCTGGAAAGACGAACGAGGGTGTCGATGGTTTCAAATAGAAACTCGGTTTGTCGGACCACGGAGCCAAAGTGGTCCAAATCGTGGGTCTTCTGGTCGACGCTTTCTCAAAGTTCTGTTCGAAATTATTCTCGGAAATCACAGTCTGCGTACTGTAGTCGTTGCTCACGGTCGGCTTGGACGTCGTGCCGTCCTTGAGGTTCACGCTGAAGAAACTCGTCGAGACGACGTTGCTGGTGGCCACGTTCGAAATTACCGTGCTGATATTGTGAGTTATGGTCGTAGAAACGCTAGGTTTTCTCGTAGTGAGCGGACTGGGTCTCGTCGATCCGATGGTGGGTCTGGTAGCCGCCGCTGTGGGTCTGACAGCTTCCGTTGGCTTCCTCGTGACGGGTTTCTGCGATGTTTCGGCAAACTCTGTCTCCAGCGGGCCCAGAACTATCAACGTCGGCGCTGGAGGGTTCGTAGTTGTTTTGGTGGAGTAACCGTAATTGCTGGTACTGGTGAAACTCGACTGTGTCGATGGCCTCGAAGAATACGAATTAGAGGTCGAGTGCGATGGATACGTCGTTTCCGTGGGGACCGTTTCGTAGTTGTAATAGTTAGACGTTTGCACCGGTTTGTAGAATATATAAGGGAAGGACTGAGCAGTGGTGGGTCCGGGAACAGCTGGTTTCGTCGACGAAATTCTGACCAAGGACGGTTTCGAGGTCTCGTCGATGCTGACCCATTTGTTGATGGACGAATTCGGAGTCTGAATGGTGGTCCCCGAGCCCGGTTTCGTGTCGTTGAGAATAGAAATTATGTGGTTGATCGCCAGCTCCTCTTTATCCACCATGTCGTTCTTCTTGATACCGGACGGTGTGTCGTAAGTGATCGTCGGCACTCTGATCAGATCGTCCTTCTTGTCGCTCAGCGTGGTCATCGGCGTGGTCGTTTTCTCGTCGGTCCAATCGAGCGCCTGCACGTTCTTCGTCGACACTCTTTCCTCGATCGTTCCGATCTTTTCAAAATTATCGAACACCGTCTCGGAAACGGGAGGAGCAGTAGTGAGTCTCTGCGTGTTGGCGTACATCTGCGTGACGAACGGAGATTTCGTCATCGACGAGGTGCTGATCTTCTGCCCGTCGAGGCTGGACGACACTCCGTTTGTCACGGAGGATCCAGGATACTCGGGAAACTTCACCCACTGAGTGGTACCGTGCGCTGGTTTCTTTCTGGTTCCCATGGTCGGTGCATCGTCGGTCGGTTTTGGTTTCTGTGTGGTAGTCGGAGCATCGGTCACTCGCTTTCTCTCGGTGCTCGATTCGACGCCGGGCTTGAACAAATCGTCCGGGTTATGCGTCTCGTTCAGCGCGGTTCCATTCTCGTTCAACAGTATCGTGTCGGCCGAAACGTGATCGCTTTGACCCAGTCCCTGAGAGAACAGGGCTGGCAGCTGATCGACCGGATCGGCTATCTGTAGTATCTGATCAGGGCTGAGCAGAGTGGTAACCGGATTTACGGCGGACGTATCTTGGTGATTCTGTACGTCGTTGTTCGCGTCGGAGTGACTCAACAGATTCGGTAGGCTCAGGTCGTCCAAAATGTTTTGTTGACCCAGAAGGGCCGGGAAATCCTCCCCCAGGTGACTTATGTCCGGTTGGACGGGCAGTTGTGGCTTTTCAGCGTTCTCGATGCTGTCCATCACGTGAGACGTGCCGAAAGACGGTCTCGCGGTGGTCGATGGCGCGTCGAAGATCGAAACTTTCGTGTACGTTGTACCGTGGTTGCTCGGACGGTTCGACGCCTCGGTCTTCACGGCGTTGTCCTGTGGTATCGTCATACCGAGGGGCGTCCCGTCGGAATTTAATAGTATAGGAATATCTGGGACGTGATCGATCTCGTGCACGTTGAATATTTCATCCGCGTCTGGTATCTTCTCGAGATTGTCGACGGTTGATGTTTTCGACGGCAGCTGACAGCACGCGCCGAAGAGGAAACCGTCCATACACGCGCCGACAACTTGTCCGTTTCGACGCGAGCACTCGTAGTTGAACATGCATATCGCGGGCTCGTTCGATTTCACTCGCGACGGGATAGACGGCTGGCATGCTTTCGGCACTATTCTGTATCCACCGAATAATCGTCTGCCTGTAAAGAAAACAAAGAAAAGAAATAGTAAGTCGGCGTTAACAAAGTTCGTGACTAGATTATCTTTCGCGAAGCGAATGGATTGTAATCGGTGCTCAATCGGAGCGAAAACCCCCGAGTTTCCAACGCGAGGCAGCGGAATCCATGGTAACAGACATTCCTAAGCGGTAAACGAGTCGGTTAATCCGTTCAAAATTGATTATAAATAATTTATATTGCTGATACGGATGAAAATGTGGATGGTCGGATAGAATAAAATAACAATAATGGGATACAAACAAAAATTCGTTTTACTTTCGTAATACTTTCGGGATGTTTTTACGTACTTAGGCGTGTATCAATGTTTGCAAATTTATTTTAATAGAGAATTTAATTATCTGCATTGCACCATCTATTCAAAGGCTAATTAATTTACTTTCAACTTTTGTTTTCTGTGCATTTTCGATTTTCACGGTTCTTTGACAATGTTAACTATTAATATTAATTGTCCCAGAGAGTTAATAATTAATTTTTAGTATTGACAAAGTTGGACTAAACTAAGCATCCTCTAATTGTCTATTTTTTGTGATGTCTTTTTCATCGTAACTATTTAATTTAATCGTAAATGTTTAAACGTTTCATTTAATTCCTGTTGTTGACATTCAAGTACAACGGAACAATTTCCGATTTTATATCTCTATTTATACTTCTAAATTATTTTATCGTACATTTATCTTATCATCAATTTTAACATGCCTGCTAGAAATTTTTGTGGCCGTCAATTATATCATATCGATACGTATTATGCGTTGTATTTCAATTTTGTTTACAGCAAGCGTATCTATAACAAAGTTAACATATATTCTACTAAAGTTGGCTCACTTTTTGGGTCCTCAGAGTCATTGAATTCTACCATCGGTGAAAAGTACCATTATTGTTACCTTACTATTATATCTTATGTCGTTCTGTAAACGCCTCGCTCCTTGTCAGTAAAATAAATAAATTACTTACACGATGACCTTCAAATTATTGGACGGTTAATTTAATTCCGTACGATTAGCGGTTCACCGAAACGATGAGTATTTATTATTCCAGTCGAGGTACGCGGCTGCAATTAGTCCTGAGTTTACAACGGTTCACGATAAACGAGTTGAAAACGAAACGAGTACTGGACGATCGCGGAGACCAACTCCGATTAGTATTCGTCCAGTTGGCGTCACACAGTCGTACGAATTGGGAACAGTTGTTCCGAATTCTGTATTCAGACGGTTGCAAGTTCGCAAAAACCGGAGAAATACTACAAAACCGAGTTTCTCAAACTGTGGTCATCCGGACCTTGAAAATTCGGGAACGTTTTAGTAGAGATTCGCTAGCTCTCGAAAGAGAAAAAGGAAACATACTGTATAGCTTCAGTAGTTAATTACACACATCATAATCGATGGCTTAACGAATGAGGAATTACTGTTTACAGACTGTTTATTCAATAAAAAAACAATTTCTTCAACGAGGATATTTAGAAAACGCGTCGAACAATTAGAAGAAGATGTAAATACATAAGTAAGGGTAAAATTCTTCGTTTGACTTAAAAATAAGCAGAATATAAAGGCAAACCAAAAAGTTAAGGGGACTGTTAAGACTCGTAACGTGAGCTATCGTTCAAAAACTCTATCGTTATCTTTTTTTTATTTATGCGAGAACGTGTCCACTCGTCGGTGCAAATAAATATGATATTTGAATATTTCTTGACGTTTTTATAGTTGTAACGGCGAATATTTAGCGTGATCGGTTCTGCTCAGGTGACTAAGGCATAGGCGAGCAAGCATGTAGGCTTTTCACGTGCCTTCTCATATGCCTACATACTACCGATAGAATGACCTACTCCATTCATCGTCCGTAGTGCTTGTCAGAATCCTTCCGGCGTTCCAGATATTTTTCTTCGTTTTTTTTTACGGGCTTTCGTTTTACGTCAGATTACACCGTGGATAACGTCGACTCTTTGATTTTGAATTTTCCTCGTACACATTACGCTTCGTTATCCTTTTTTTACTTAGGAGGTCACTCGTATATTTTCCAAGGAATTCGTTCGATTTCGCGACTTTCACGCGGGCTGACACGATTTAAAAAATGCGAACATTTGTTTCGACGGAAGAAATCGCTACGGACGACGTTATGCTTGATCCGTCAAGACTCGATCGACCGTATTCAAACAAACGAGTGTGGGCCGGGCTTTAGATCGAAATACGTACCATAGAACTTAATTATTTTGAACTTTCATTTCTAGAATGAAATACGTGGCTTTGGAACTTAGGTATAAACCCTCATCATTGGACAGGGATAACCGAGACATAGTCGTAGACTTCACATTGACTTGCTGTCTATAATTTAAAAAGTCTGTCATTCTTTCGCTGAACTTAACCCATTATATAAAAGCGTATTTTCAAGTCTATCAATTTAACCAATGTCAAACGTCTACTTAAACTATATCTTAGAATTAACGACGTCGTACAAACTAATACGGTATGTAAACAATTTGATCTCGATATTTCCAATCATCCATAGTCGACGTATTTATATGTACATACTCTCATATATTCGGTGATAATCTATTAATATCTAGTGACTATATGTGCAACGTAGGCATAACTTACGATAGTAAATTTTCTTTCACTCTACAAATTGCGGAGGCGTAAAAAAATTAATTCTCAAGATTAGATGTTAGAGTGTATAAGAACAAGTTCGATGACAAATTGTGTGCTTGTTTCCGATTGTCTGGAAACGAAGTTTTGTTTTCCTGGACAATTTGAGAGACCTGACGGACGATTAAAGGATTAACGATGGTCGCCATTGGGCGACTCAACGGTTTGCGTCTGGTTCGGTGAACCCGCGCGTATGATATCGATGCGTTGGGTCTTGTACGCGTGAAATTCCCGCGAGCAGGACGGACTCGGTTCGAATTCAGAACGCGAATCGCTAGTATGTGTGTCATTGATGGAATTATTTGAATTTTGCTGTCGCGCATTGGGAACGCGGCCCGCGGAATGAGATGCGCGCGTGTAAATGCGACCGGTGGAATTCGCGACTTTCGAAAGGAAGCGAGAGATGTAAGTGGAATTCGGTGTCAGTGTTGGTTCGCGGGATTCTGAAAATCCCCGCGTGCCCGTGTGCGTGGCGCATGCGCGCCGTGCTATTCAAACGTGAAACTTGGACGACACGTAGATCGTTTGCAAAATGACCGCCATTCACGGATTCTGGGAACCATCGGTCGGGAAGCACACGTGGAAACCTGCGTTCGTCGAATGTGTTGGCACACGGAATTACGGTATCGGCAAATAATTCAAAGTCGACAAAGTATTGGTTGGAACACTCTTCCGAAGAAGTGTAAATAATACGTACGCGACGAGCCGGACGCTGGAACGCGGAGTTCCACGCGAACGGAACTTTTCATTGACCCCCGACATTTTCTTCGTTCTACGTTGAGAAGCGTACGGTGGTGCGGACAGTATCGATTCGTCTTGTGTTGGAAAAAATACTTTTTTTATACGTTTCTGTAGTATACTTTTTATAATATATTATAGAGTGGTGGATCTAGAAGAGTTCAAAGGGTACTGGCAAATTATAAATAGAGATGGAACTAGAAACATTAGTTTCGATGATTTTTCAGTATTTAGTTAATAGGGCAGTAGTGGCTCAACCCCGCGTAGTCTTTATATCCGCCATTGACGAGAAGAAGTCTCGCCTGGGGAACCATTGATTTTATCTTTTTTTTACGATACCAAATAAACAAGCAGACATGTTCAAGTTTGTTTGTAAATGCTCATTATTTACAAAGATATTTAATATTCAATTTGTTGATATTTGTATATATGATTCGAATCACACAAGTGATTTGAAATAGAACAACGTAATTAATCAAAGTTAATTGAAAGAGATTGTGAAATATTTTTATTGATTGTATATAAAAATAAGTGTATGTTTTTTACACCTAACGGTTGAAGGAAAGAAATAGACTGAAAAAGACAAAGATAGCTATAAATAGAAATAATATTATGAAAAGATAAAAGCATCTATCATAGCAGCGATACTTTAATTTTTGCGTTGTTATTGTTTGCAAAGTTAAATTAGTATATTTTTGTTGTCATGCTATTACTTTGTTGCGCATTGAATAAGGGTTGTAAACGTCGCCTCGGTGGAAGAAAGATTTATCTACCCCTAACCTCGAACTGGAAATCGAACGGAACTTTTCCATGGAAACTTAAAAGTCAAAGGTTATCTGCATATTCCATAGTACAATGTATACGTAGCCTCAAGGTACCGCGCAATTAAACTATTCTGTTAAGAGTTATCTAAACAGGGTTGTAATGCATACAGAGTGGTACAATTCTAGCCCATTGATTAATTTAGAAATTATAATTAGATAAAAATTTATCAAACAACAATTACATGGCAAAAAAGGAGACAATGTATAATGAGATAAGGTTTAATGAGATTCGTTATTTAAAAAAAATAGAATTCTTTATTTTTTTGAATTTTATTAAAAACTGAATTTATAGTAAAAGAACGTTCAGTGCCATTGTCATCATCCCGTGTATCTATGCAACCATGAATCTTTCGTTTTCGATTTATAGTCTTGTACTAGTTACGCAATATAATTGTTACCTGTGCCTTGAGCCACGCGAGAGTGCGAAATGACGGACGTCGAAGAAAGGATGACGAGGATTAATTGGATATTCTTCCCGACAGCCATCTGCAACAAAAAAAAAAAGAAATTATATTGTTCGTTGGAAAAAATTGTGGGTTGCCGTGAAACAGCGTAGAATAATTAGCCTACATTTACGGACTGAATGAAATTAAAGTCGCTGAACACATCGCGGCGATATATTTAAACGTTATATCTTAGTATGATATTAAGAACGAGAAATTCATTAATCGCCCTTTCAAATCTACAAACTTATACAAGGTGAACCGTATAAAACAGGCCACCTGAATAACTCGCCTACTTTCAGTGATTGCAAAATTGGCAAATATTCTGGCACGCGATAAATCTTTCCTCAACGTCATATCGTTCGATATCTTTTATAAACGAAACTACATATTTTTATCACCGTGGCGTAACAGTAGAAAGTCAAAATCAATCCAATGATACGTATCACGACCTTCGAATGACCTTGAGTACAATAAATTCAGTACTCGACTGCGTTAAATATCACCGTTACTTTCGATGATAGAAAGAAAGGATATACGTGGAGGGGGTGTAGATCATAATTATAAAATTTCAGCTTCGGTTATTTAATAGTTTCCGAGATTTTCGCAAAAAACTTTTGTTCTACACAGTCGAATTCTGTCTACACGTATGCGTGAAACACAGTTTACTTTGTAGTAGTGTCGTCGTCGACTGTTGAACCCACGACGCATAGCGATATATCGAGCCTCGGTTTCTATAGAGTGTCCCACTTAAAATTTACACGTCTTTTGAATATCATGGCAAACAATTTTTTCAAGGTCGTATGCTTCGATATCGCAAGTTCATCTACGTTTTCTAAAACGGGATTACATATTCTTATCGCCACTCGGAAATGACTTGTATCTCTACGTGTTTCGCCAACATTTCAATTATTTCATTCTCAGCGACGTCCAGTAAGTTTAATCCTTCTCCTTTCGTTCCCGAGTTAAAAAAATCTTGGCTGCATTCTCGTTTCATTACGAGATTAGCGTCGCATGTTTACACTTTTGCTCGTCACTGTACGTAATTTTCGATAACGGTACAACACTTCCAATCCCGCGCATGCGTTATAGAAGCTGGAAATTCTGAACGAGTTAGCATTCTATTTTGATTCGCGGACTACATTCTTCTTACTTAATTAAAAAAAAAAATTTCTTCGGATAATCATTGGGTAGGAAGGCCCAACAAGTCTTGCAGAAAGATTCACAATGTGAATACGCAGGTCAACGTTGCAAGTGAAATACTTCGAAGTTAACCGCTTTCGGTACGAATTATTTTGAATATTTATCAATTCGAGTGGTTACGTGTACGTTACAATGTTTAAAATAATTTGGCAACCGTATGTCGATGCTAAAACAGTGAAGAGGTTCGTCTATTGGGAGACAAATTATTTTCATGAAAAACTTCTGTTTTTGGAAGCAAGAAACATGTTCTCAGGGAATATTGCACGTAAAAAAAAATTAAGTAAATCGTTGCTGTATATAGTATTTTGTTACTTCATAAACACTAGTTTTTTCGAATGTAAATAGGACACTGGTACACGATGGGTTACGAAAAGAAGGGAAATAACTTCAGGGGTATATTGTTTTCTATTAACGATATATTACTTTTTTTAACGACGGATTCGAGGGTTCGAATTGGGAAATAGTAAGATATGATAGTAGTATGATCTTGATTCGAGGAAACGACCGAGGTCCATGGCCTCCGAATCGTCGGACTTTCTTCGTCCAATGATAATTCCTCCCGAGAGTTACATGCTCGCTGGCACGTGCGTTTCTCGTATGTGAGCATACGCTACGCACGACGGGTCCCTACGTGCCTCGAAATCCCGTTACAGAGTCCGTCCTGGAGCGTTCTACGTATTAACACGGACCTGCGAGCGATGCTAAACAGAAGAACGAGGGACGACGATGAGGAAGAATGATGGAAACGTGAACGGAACAGCCGGGCGAGAGAAGAGGGGCCGTGAGAAAGACGAAGAGAGCGAGTGGCTGATCGCTTCAGCGTTTGCTTCACCAAGCCACCGGTAACCCAGTTACCAATTCCCCCATCACCGGTTCTATTCTTCGGCCGTTCCTGTGACCTTCTTAAGAACGAGAAGTTCGATTGCGTCCCCATAAAAGCGAATCGATTATTCGTTAAATTCACCGCGTTCTCTTTTCGAATCTCAACGATCGATCGCGCGCCATGCTTGCTCCGTGAAAGTAAACTGGCTTTGTCTTCTAAATTATGGAAATTTTAATAGCTATGCTTTTCAATTTTACAAAGAGAAGGTAAATTGGAATAATTCTAGATACTCTTCAGCTTGAATTATTTGTTTCTTCCCATCCACTGTTGCATTTTTAAAAAAACTGGTGTTTCAAATACACTGCATTAGAAGGATGTCGAGTACCAAAATTTTCGATATCAACAGGTATCGAGCACTGCAGCATCTTCCTTGAGATTCAACCTTGTTGACTCGATAAAGAAACAGTTGGCACGTAACGATGCCGTAAGAATGGAAACAAAGGACTGTACAAGTTTTTGTGTCAATGTTCTTTTGAATGATCAACTGCTGGTACACTTACCTCGCATATTATGTATTATTACCCCATGGTTTTCACCCGTAGTATAATTACGTAAGTCCAAAACTCTAAGAACAGTAAAATTCCTCCAGTCGACGCGTATTTTTAGCACCTCGTTGCCTTCTGTTTCCTTTTACGATCGCCCGGAGCATGCTAAACGCTGAACGCCCGTTTTTTTTCGCACGTCCGATAGTAATTTGTTCCCTCTCGAGAGCGTCAGACAGGAATCCAAGAGTCGAGGCACAGTACCGTTACTATCGATTATCAATACTCGGCGTTATTGCTGTTTTTTCCGTTTGGTCGCGAGACGGTATTACGCTCACGCGAGCCTGCCCCGCGCGACGATTCATCGGAGCAAATAGAAAAAAAGCTAAATGAAATTCGAATTAAATTCGTTTTCCGTTGTTCGCGAACGTCACGCAGTCTACGCGTAGAAAGTTCGTTTTTTTCCAGCAGCACGAATTACATATAAATTTTATTCTTATCCACGACATCTCGCGGCACACACGACACACGGAGAAAGTATTCCCCCGTTTCCATTATACGACATCGACAAAATTAATCGCAGCATCCGAGGTTCGCGTCCGCAAAACCGTGTCGCGAGAGCGTTTCGCGTTTGATAGCACGACAATCGTTCCCTTTCGTTCAACGTTTATTCACGCGCGATACGGGCGAGCCCCACACGCGCGAATACGCGGAAGTCACTTTCCATCGAACCGTTCCGTTTCTCGGGCTTCGGTTTCAAGCAGTTTCGATCGCTACAAAAACCAGCCAGGGTAAGACGAGAAGGTAATTATCATCGACGATCCTCTCGTTCTTACGGAATAGTTAACAGTTACTCTTCGAACGAAATCCTCGCTGGCGGTAATAAAGCTAATAAGACGGCCGTTTTGCTACCGTTTCAACAAGCTAGCGTTAGTTCGCGAAGGTGTGCGCCAGGTTCTTCGCTGGCATTCGGATCTATTAGTCGAAAGTAAAAATTTTGTTTTTTTATTTAAACAGCCTCCGAAAGCTCCAAGTAACCAGAGGCTATTTACGAACTAATATATGTAGAAAAAATTGGCAGTACAAATAGAACCGGGGAGATTCTATGACTCGAAATTGGACTATGAACGAAATAAGAATTTTCCTGTAGGGGACAATCTTACGAAAATTTACGTAATGGCGGTCGAATCTATTCAAATCTATTTTTGTTTCGAAGATATATACAATTATGTGTGTCAATGCATCCTCAACCGGTTTGATCCGGTTTCAAAGAATGGAGATAACTTCATTTTTTTCCATTTACCTTCCTCCTATTCTTCAGTAGATTTCACGGGGATGCGAGCACGCGAACGTGTTTCCACGGTTAAATCTAAAAGGTAAAACAGGTTCCGCATATGAAAACGCGGATAAAGCGAAACGTTGTAGTAATAAATTGAAACTGAAGCTCGATGCACACGGGATTTCGCTATACAGAGGTATGCACGCGCGAACACGGGTCCCCGTTACTCCAAGCGAATTTTACGTATTTTCTTTAAAACCATTCACGATACGTGTATGCTCGTAAACGAAGTCTAAACAGCGAGCAGAATTCACGAGATAAAGTCTTGGAAACATCGGAGAATCCCACGCACTGATTCAAATGATCATGCAAAATGTTCGTTAACGAGTCAAATTTGTTTTTTGGAAGGGTGGTAAATTTGCAATTTTGATAACTTTAAAAAAATTCAAGTTCACACGATATAGTAATCATTCTGCAGACTACAGCTGGTCCTTTGCCCTTCAACATGGTAACGTACATATAATCCAAGAGTTAATGCTCGAAACAATTTATACAAGTACATACTTAACATATGCAAACATACGCGTCGAAAATTTGAAATCGGTAGGTCTGGTACTATGTGTATCTAGAACTGATTAGCGGTCGTCAAAAGTGTGATAAATTTAAAGATGTACGCCCAACGTGTGTACAAGTCCACAGGTAACGAGTTCATCGACTTTAAAGATTAATATCTACTCCATTTTAAAAATGTAGGCCATTGTTTTTAAAACACGGCGGAGGCATCTTTGAAAAATCAATAGCGATCTTAATAGTCTCCGAGATTCAATATTTTAGTGGTCTCGATCCTTCTTACGTTCTTTAAAAATATATAACTTAACATTTAAACTTGGAAAAGTCATTAAATGTTGACTCGAAACGAGAGAGTTATAGCTTGTGAAACATTATCAATAAATTTCTAGATCTAGGTAGGCGTTGATACGTAGAAAAGGTTTGATCGTTTAGCTGAGAAAGAACCCATGTAAATAAGAAAATCTGGGACTCGTCGGTATTTGAAGAGGGTCAAGCAACACCTTCGCGTCAGCTGCATCCAGAAGCGACGCGTGTCTCGGATCGGCGCGTATGGAAAGAGGACACCCTGTATGCGCTCGAAGGTCTGGACACGGTCACGATCTTGGGCTCGTAGCTTGCACGAGGAA